AGCAGGGGCAATAACATGTCAAAACACCCCCGAGTTATAGTTAGGCTGAAAAGATATAACACTTGTTTCTCAAGCAGTGACTTCTGGGAGATTGGTGTGTTTTTAGTGTGAAAAGTAAAACATGAGCAAAATTTATTAGTTGTCCAAAAAAGTAAGAAAATGCTGCACCATTTTCTGATGTGCCAGTACCTGGAAACCATGTATGTTTATTTTTTGCCTAATATAACTGATCCTGCAATGGAGTTTTGTTGATGCCACTTTACACAAGTCCATCACGGTGTGTCAGCTGAGGTGGGAGAAAGGCCCACAGTGACGCAGGTCGTTCCGGCTTTAATGTTCACCACTTCGGTGAAACCCACCAGCAATGGTCTGGTGCCGAGAAACCTAGAAACACAGCAGGGCGAATCTGGGATTCAAACCCATGATGATAGATTTCTGGCACACCTAAGGGACACAACTCTGCAAAGCAAACGGCAGCATATTTGAGGCCTGGGCCCCGACAAAGGATGAAGCATGGTAGCAACGATCAAAGTTAGCTTTGCATTAATTTCTCTCCTTTTCCCTTGTGACTACAGCTTTGGGTTGTTGAGTATGATCCTTCTCGCTTCCGTCCCATCGTCAATTTGTCCACGACACACCATCCAGCTCTTCATCACACCATGAGAAATCACCAACAAAGCTAATCTAACAATACTACCTCTGTCATGCATGCCACCATTTATGTTTGTTTTGGGAACAAAATAAAACCGTCCAATTTTGTGAACAAACTACAAACCAACTTTCTCTGAGTACAAATATTGCTTTTTATTTAAATGTTAGCAATAATACATGCAGTAATTATCTTTTGTATATAAATATATTTCAAAATATGTTTGACATTTTCCTCACTTGGTAACACAACTTGATATGCTCTGTCATTTACAGCATAGGAGAGTGATGAAAGGGGGATAACTCTGGTCAGGATTGCAGAAGCCTTGTCAGCCCGAACATGCATGAAACATCAGGCAAAACATGCAGAATACACTGTAGTACTGTCACACTCACGAGCAAATTATTTCATAGCAAAATGTACACATACAGACGAAACTGAAGTAATTTTCTCATGCGATGTCTTGAATAAAATCCATTCTGATTAGCGGTTATGTGTATGTGACATGCTGGTGAGTGAGGCTTGATTGGCATAGAGAAACATAGATTAAGTAGATACATGCAAGAATATTCAAAGTTGTAAATCGAGCTATGAGCATTACTGAAGATTTTAATACTGTTCAGAGTCATTTTTCATAAAACAAAAAGAGGTGTAATACTGTTTTCTTACTTCCCAAAAAAATTTGAATACATATTCCATCTTTCAATGTTTCATATTACAAACTTATCCGTTTTTACAGTGCAGGCTAGCAATGCAGGAAGTGAACTCAATAAGCAGGCATTGTGATGACATGTTTGTGATGTGGTTATCATACGCAGTTAGGAAGTGTTAACCAAGTTAAAGACAGTGAGTTGAGAAGCCAAGGAATGACCCCTCTAAATGCTGTAAATGGCATGCTTCCATTGCCAAATAAGGGTTTAGTAAAGGTTGTTGCCAAGGAGATGCAGTAATGAGGATTTGGGTTACAAAATTAGCTTCTAAACTATGAACCAGAGTAGTTTGTCAGTACGTTATAATGATGAGAGGACACCAGAAAATATATAAAAGAATACAGAAAACCAGACAGATGGGAATAATTAATCGAATCAAATACAGCATCATGACATTTTCGTTACCATAGCAACAAATCACCATGGTAACAAGCTGTCATGGAGGCATGTTTTTGAAACCATGGTAACATGCATGACAAAACGCAAACCTGACCAATGAGGGCCCATTTCCATCACCTCACCATGGGGCAGTAACAAAATTACAAAACTGTCAAAACAATTTACAAATGAGGCGAAATGGAGAATATTTCAAACACCTTAAAAGGAGACAAGATAATATAATGAATTTATACAACAAATATTTACTTAACAGTACACAGTTAGATGAATAACTTATGGATATATACTTGCGTAGGAAGTACTATCTTAATGAATACAGAATATTAACTGGTATTAAGTACTCTGAATCAGTCTCCTCTAAAGGTTCGAAGTATTCCCCACTAAATAATCATTTGAACATCAGCATGGTTTCAGATGACAAGAATACTCTATTGTACTCAATACTAACATCAGCCCAGGTGTCTAATTATCTGGCTGGTAATATTTGTCAATAAAATCTATATACACAAATATATTGCAAAGTTGATTTGCTAATCAAATTCTAATTAAAAAGTGACATAAGTCAAGTTGTGATCAAACATCTGTCATATTGCAGATAAGTGATTTGATATTTGTAAATGTGCAGACCAATTATGAGTAGTTGGGAAACATGCCAACTGACACTGTGACCCCAGCAGTAACCTCTTAATACTATGGAATCAGTTGCCTTTAGCCATGTTCAGGGATTTAGTGCAAATCAAAGCAGTTATCTCCTCTCTGTGGAAGAAGAACCTTAGACTGAGAAATTTGGTTGAAATGTGTGTATAAAAAAAGTAACTTTTAAAATAATACAGAAGTGATACAAGCCTGAGGCAATCAGAATACTCAAGGAAAATACCTGAAAGTGACTACAATCAGAGCCATTATCTGTCTACTGTTATAGGAATAGCCATACACAGTGTAAACTTGCCATAGTAACTTGGTTTTAGTTCAGTCATAGATTCACATTTGGATACAAATGTTTCCATTGTTGTACAAGTACATGTACAATGGTTTCAAAAATATAATGGATCATAAATTTCCAATAATCATAACAAATATTACCATTATCAATGAGTCAGATATGCTGAATAATGCTAACCATACACGAGGCTAATAACACCTATATCGCCCAGACTGGGGAGTATGGGTTATTAATGTTATATTTTCATGGGTATTATGCTGCTATTTGATAACTGAAATCCTTAACTCATATTTCAACATTTTCAGCATATTACAGTTGGCTCTTTTTTTTGCCATTTTATTCCAAAAAGAATCATCAAATGTTGATTTCACTGCTATTATGCAAGAATACTGGAGAACACAAAATTCACATTTTCAAAACATAAAGAAAAGTTGGTGTTACTGAGAATACACTACTGCTTATTCCAAAGAACCATAAACCAAAATGTACAATTTTTACAGATCAACCAAATCAATGTATGTACATTTATTTTTCATTTCTGGGAGGTAGGTGATTTAAATAGCAACTCGTAGTCAAATATTCTTTGACCTTTTATATATAGAGACCAACATTCACCACTGCCATTTAACTATACAAGACGCCCCTGCACAACGCTCGGCTGAAGCTTCCTCAACCAGGTAAGTACCAGCATATCAAGAAAAACTATGATAATCCTATTAAAATGTCATTGGAGAAAAAGAACTTCTTTCTTATCAACAACCTATCATGAAGGTTTATCTCTAATATTTGAGAATAATTCTTTTGTTATTTTATTCCAAGCACCAATTAGTGTCAACCTTTTCACTAGCCGGGTACCAGAATTATGTCAACGCTAATGGGTGATCTATTCAGTGCTTTATGATTTGTGATTAAATTGACATGAAATGTTTTCAAATTAAAAACATATCTAACTGATAAAATAACAAAATTTATACAAAAGTTCATAATAAATTCAATCTTCTTTCAAAGCACTTAAGGCCACATTATAAAGTTGCATCAGAAACAAATATGTACAGATCAATTCTTGTTCTGCAGTGAGCAAAATGCTCTAAATTATAACAAGCGGCAATTTTCAGCTGAATGTGAAGCAAATATAAACAGTACACTTTCTAAATCTAAAATCTTCAAAACATGTTTCCAGAATATACAAATACAATATACATACATATATAATTCAAGCAGGTGTTGCTTTAACCTACATGTCTCCTACCTCTATAATACTTCATGTGCAAAAGGGAAAGTAGTTGTCTCCCTTGGCATGTAAGAGTTACCTCCCCTTCAGTAACTTCCTGTTCAAGCTTCAAGGTTAAAGAACCTTCTCATTGTTCAAAAGGAAATAGACTTTTAGTGAAGGTGATTCTAAAAGGGAAGATACTCTTACTGACCAGTTTCAATGTTTGTATAAAACATTGTTTTTTTGCAAACTGACACTATAACATTGTATTGGGAATACACATGTTTAATGAGGAATGATATGAACATAATGACACAGTCAATGAAATATATATTAACATCGATTCCCCCCCTCCCTTATAGTTGCATAGATTTGGAAAAAAATAATAACACACAACTGACTTGATATTATGACAAATCAAATAGATATGGACAAGCTTGAAACTCATACCCTCACTTTCCTATTAATCTGTTTCATCGTATCTCATGTTGTCATTTTGTTCCCGTTCACAAAGCAATTGCAGCACTTCGACTGCAGTACGTCTATGAATGAGTCGGAATGGTTTATGCCGCCTTTAGCAATATTACGGCAGGGGACACCAAAAATGGGCTTCAAACATTGTACCCATGTCGGGAATCGAACCCAGTGTTTGACCTGATGAGCGATTGCATTAACCACTGTGCTATCCACCCGCCCCTTTAAGTCCATGATAAACTGACATAGGAGTAATGACCATCGTGGCACAACCGTTTCTTTGTTAAACCAGGAACTATTTGGTCCTCCTACTCCCCAAATTGCACATCATCTAACCTTCAGGAACACAGAGTGATGGGTATTGTTGTATCAAGCCTATCTAATGTGACATTGTTTTTTCTGCCAATGAAGCTGCACGGAAATCTATGTACAATTTCGTCGATTGGACGATAAATTTATTGGCATTTTGTAATAAAATTGAGAATACAGATTTATTGTCCTCACAATCTCGCCAATTTTGGTAGTATTTATGACCTTTGAACAGAACACATAAAACCACACTGGTAAGGGTAGATTATTTCAGCTGACGACCCTAGAAGTATTTAAAGTCACCTCTTTTGGGTTGTCTGCTCCTGCCAATATCAGGGGCGGGAGGTGGCACAGGGGGCGCTGGTGGCTGGTCGTTAGGCAGGAAGTTGTTGTAGTTGCCACTGTTTCGGTCGCGGCCCAAGTCCTGAAATGATATTGTATTGTATATTCACCTAAGAACAATCTGATATCCTATTACCTAAAAGGACTTCTATGCATATATAAATTCAACTGAAATTCTTTTCAAGACTTTTTCAACAAACAAATATGGAATGCTATATTCATGAAGTACATTAACCCTACAAAACCAAATTAAAGTCAAATATACTTTCAGCTGTACTATTAACTGTTAAATTAGGAAAGAGAAAAAACAGAAATTGGAGAAAAAAACCATTCTGCAAGAGTGAATAGGTAGGCAAGTGAGTCAATGAATGAATGAATGAATGAATGAATGAATGCAAGTGTCTGCAATGCTACTGGATAGTGCAATGTCCGTAAAGGAAACAAGTCCGGGCTAGTGAGTGAGTGTTCAGTTTAAGACAGCTTTGAACAGTATTTCAGTTATATCAACTTGAAGTGGGGGAGAAAAGGACATGCACACTTTGGTGTGAGTGAGTGAGTGAGTTTGATTTTACACCGCTTTTAGCAATATTCCAGCAATATCACGGCGGGGGACACCAGAAATGGGCTTCACATATTGTACCCATGTCGGGAATCGAACCCGGGTCTTCAGCGTGACGAGCGAACGCTTTAACCACCAGGCTACCCGACCGCCCCTGCACACTTTGGAAAAACCCATGAGCACATGTATGTTGATGACAAACCAAGAAACATAATCAGGGCAAATCCAGGATTCAAACCCACAATCATGCCAAGGGATGCAACTGTGCAGCAAACTGTGGCACCTGGGACAACTGGGCCACCCTGCCCCGCAGTCCAACCAGCGGTTGATGATGCGAGCAATGATACCAGCTGTGTCAGCATCATGATCAAGCAGGTCACTACAAGAGTTGTCTTCCTTGGCCATCACCGATCCAGGTGCTGTTTCATTGTGGCCACTGATCCCCATTGGGATGTTAAAACAAACATGGGCACAGAATCTGTTTTGCTCAAAATCCACATGCTATCCAAGAAGACCAGTTTTGTTAATTCTTTGCACCACAAGGATTAAACCAATGACATGTTACACACCATGCAAGATATTGATGTTAACAACACCCATCACCAGGCCAAACATATTTGGTAAAAAAGCAAATGATGTCTTAATATTCAGTTGAAAGATTCAACATTTATAGAAGGTGAGAACAAAACCAACAAATTAAAAATACTAAAATTTCTAAAGACATATTTTCCCAGCATTACAAAAAGAAATAAATTGCACATAGCTGTCAATACCAATGAACCAGCCCATGGACAAAATTTGAAGTGGCTAATCTCTGTATAAGCATGCACTTTTTAAATAAAATAATTCCAATCAAGATTTGAATTGTGTCAGAAACTCGAATTGAAATGATATAAGACTGAGGGAGCTTGAGAAGAAAGGGTGTGGACCCAGAGACAGGACAGAAAGACATACTAACACAAAATAAAGATATCATATATTTAAGATAAATAGCCTGGTGATGAGTGTTTCTCTGTACATACTCCAACACAAAACCATTGTACATCTCTAACTAACATTTCCACAAACTTTAGAAAAACAGTCAATTAAAAACTCAGCCCAAGCCAACAACAACAGCTCTTGTAAAAAATAATTTTCTTTAAAAAAAAAGAGAGAGTTAAATATCTCTCTAATATAAATTGTTCTAAGGAGACCCCAATGTAAAACTGTAAAGCCAGGAACTAACACGAAAATCACTTCCTTCTGTTATTGTCTTTCTATTTTTCAGACGTGCTATGTTTGATGAGTAAGTCCCATAACACTTGTTTATCACAATGCAAGGAAGACACGACAAGGTGGCAGTGGACCAATGTAATCCTGACACCTCACAACAATCAGTGAGTGTGTTCAGTTTTATGCTGCTTTTAGCAATATTCCAGCAATATCATGTCGGGACACAAGAAATGGGCCATAGACATTGTTTCCATATCGGAAATTGAACTTGGGGTATGACAAGCGAACATTTTACCCCCCACCCTCTTTCACAAGACTGATGCTAGGTTAATGCTCAGAGGTCAAATACAGCAAATCATGAAATAAAGGAGGGCCACTAAATAAAAAAAGGTTACAGAACATCATATTAATTGTGTTTTAAAAGATGCCATTTGAAAAATAAATAACTCAATAAATGAAACTTGCATGAACTTAATTATTTCCTTCTTGCATTAGTAAGATCTAACTGGATCTGTTTTCAGCCAATCAGAATTCCCAGTGGACAACTCATTTCTATGACAACACTTAAGTTCTAATGACAACTCCAGAAGAATGTCCACTATCCAACACAAGACATGGTAGTAGACCGGGGAACCATTGAGTCCAACAACACTCCACATGCTGTTATTTCTCAGTCGAAACAAGCGACAACTTCTTTCTTCTTGAAACAAAATAATAAAACAATTTCAACTTTGACAATAATTTTGGGGGTAATTTTTTGTATCAAAATACAATATAGGCATACAATTGATAATGTTGTGGCTCTGGCCATGTTTCTTAAATATATTTTTTAAAACAAGGTTCTTGATAAAGAGACAACAACCCCAATACATAGACCACACAAACAGATACACACATATCTCTCCAACAGACACACTACACACCAACAGGCACACACATCACAACTCTATTGACACTGAAATATTCTCCCTCCAAAATTTATATAAACATGGCAATCAGAACCACAACAAAATTAACGCCTTTTCATAATTTTAGTCTTGACAATTTCCTTGGTTGAATGAAAGAAGTTGTATGGCAAGTATGATGTAAGACAAGACAAGAGACTGTATGATGCGGTGTATACACACTCAGGGGGTTAATATGGCAAGCTTGTAAATACTCCAGCTGGCTACCTACGGAATCAACGCTGCGCAACTAATTGCGGGGAACCTGAATAAAAGATACAGTCACATGACCAAGATGACAGATGTGATTGGTTGATGATCTCATCTATGACTTCTTGTTGACAAATAAAAGCAAAAAGTTTTCTTCACAACATGTTTTGAATATTTTGACCAATATTCTTATCAGGAAGGAAATGTTGTAATTGTAGAAAGTTGCAGTGACATTTATGACATTTATATACCTCATATTTCAAATGCATTGAAACCTCCTCACAATGAATAATAATATTTAAATTAAGCCACATTTACATGTGCAAAATGTCGGCAATATTAAATGGGAAATCTACATTAGGTCATAGGTTAAACCACACAGAGAAGAGGACAATGATTGTCACATGACAGTCACATGATTGTCATGTGATAGTCATGTGATGAACTATTTACTGAAAGAAAGAAAAGATTCATTCTTTGCAGATAGTCATGAACAACAATGGGTGCATGCAGTCTTTCCAGAGTCTGCAAACACGAGTGTACAAGGGCCTTCCATTCACAATATTTAGGTCCACAGAAGACTGCAACACTGCAATAATCATGCAATGAAGCGGACATGCCTCAACACTTATACTGTTGTTATACTGTGTACCTTTGTCTTATCTAAACATGTACGTCAACGTTTATTAAATCAGTATTGCACTGAAACAAAGTAAAACATTCCATGTTATTGATGCTCACAAAATATAGAATATGTCATTAATGGTCCACACGAAATTCAAATATATATGTAAGCAAACCTTTCAGGCTCTGAGAACTGTCCTGGGCAAGGATTATACTCAGTTTAATACTTATTTCTTTCCAAGTGTAGTCAGGAGGAGAAACTGCAACTAGGGACCCGTCACACAAAGCGATCATAGCGCCAAGACAAGCGTAAGTCCCATACCCATACACCGATTAATGATAGTTGTAGCGCTAAGATGATTGTAACTTCCATACTTTAACACTGGCTTATGATAGTCATAGCACAAAGACGGTCGTAACTCCCATACTTTAACACTGGCTTATGATAGTCATAGCACAAAGACGATCGTAACTCCCATACTTTAACACTGGCTTATGATAGTCATAGCACAAAGACGGTCCCACCGCCATCATGATTGAATGTTTCCAGAAGAACGATTTAAAGAAAATGTAGAAAACAAGACCACCCAGACAGCCTGCACATCACACGTCAATAAGTCTATTAATTGAATCTGTACAAGGAAGACTGTACATGGCGTAAGTTCCATGACATTAGTTTGAAAACTAAATGTGAAGTGTTGATTGCAAACATACAGCTACAAAATGAAAGGCAAGGATTTAGTGGTGAAGCATTAAAAAAGTAAAGGCTAACAATATTCAAAATTCAATTCAAATGATATTTGTTCACCACTCTCTTTAACAGATGAGTTTTCATAAAACGAGAATACATTGAATCTAGTGTCGTGACCAACTAACCGTTCCGTATCCCAAGTCCTTGACCTCGGTCAGTATTGTGTAAGGGGCATAACCCATTTCGCCCTTGTAGTTCCGCACCTTCCACCACTTCCGGCTACTGTCCACCACCTGCAGCAAACAGAAAACAATTTTTTGGTCAAATCTGTGAATTAAATGGGGACTGATGCCAGTAACTACTTATAGCAAACACACCAGTGGCCAACCTTACCAGAATTAATCTATTTGGAGTATGATTTTTCAGGTCATAGACTTGGGGTATATATATGACTGAAACAAACCTAATTCAACTTTTTTGGTTCACTCACTGGATTGTCTGGTCCAGCTTCAAATATCTACACCATAACTTATATCTGGAATATTGCTGAGTGCTCCATCAAAGAACAAGCAATGAGGGATACCAGGGGGTGGTGTTGTCCTGAGGGGAGGGTGTAACCATGGGATGGTGGGAGTGGTGTTGTCCTAGGGGATACCAGGGGGTGGTGGGAGTGGTGTTGTCCTAGGGGATACCAGGGGGTGGTGTTGTCCTGAGGGAAACCAGGGGGTGGTGGGAGTGGTGTTGTCCTGAGGGATACCAGGGGGTGGTGGGAGTGGTGTTGTCCTGAGGGATACCAGGGGGTGGTGGGAGTGGTGTTGTCCTGAGGGATACCAGGGGGTGGTGGGAGTGGTGTTGTCCTGAGGGAAACCAGGGGGTGGTGGGAGTGGTGTTGTCCTAGGGGATACCAGGGGGTGGTGGGAATGGTGTTGTCCTGAGGGATACCAGGGGGTGGTGGGAGTGGTGTTGTCCTGAGGGTGTAACCAGGGGGTGGTGGGAGTGGTGTTGTCCTAGGGGATACCAGGGGGTGGTGGGAGTGGTGTTGTCCTGAGGGATACCAGGGGGTGGTGGGAGTGGTGTTGTCCTGAGGGATACCAGGGGGTGGTGGGAGTGGTGTTGTCCTGAGGGATACCAGGGGGTGGTGGGAGTGGTGTTGTCCTGAGGGAAACCAGGGGGTGGTGGGAGTGGTGTTGTCCTGAGGGATACCAGGGGGTGGTGGGAGTGGTGTTGTCCTGAGGGATACCAGGGGGTGGTGGGAGTGGTGTTGTCCTGAGGGGAGGGTGTAACCAGGGGGTGGTGGGAGTGGTGTTGTCCTGAGGGATACCAGGGGGTGGTGGGAGTGGTGTTGTCCTGAGGGATACCAGGGGGTGGTGGGAGTGGTGTTGTCCTGAGGGATACCAGGGGGTGGTGGGAGTGGTGTTGTCCTGAGGGGAGGGTGTAACCAGGGGGTGGTGGGAGTGGTGTTGTCCTGAGGGATACCAGGGGGTGGTGGGAGTGGTGTTGTCCTGAGGGATACCAGGGGGTGGTGGGAGTGGTGTTGTCCTGAGGGATACCAGGGGATGTAACCAGGGGGTGGTGGGACACTCACCTGCAAGATGTCTCCTTTATTCACTGAGATTTCTTTTTGATTTTTGCCCTTTCTTTCATGAAGTGCTTCGTAAACTCTATAAACAAAAACATTTCAATTAATCGTCATATTTTCAAACTGATTAAAAACACATTTGCTTCAACATCTTCAACATCTTCAAGCTGCATATTCTCCTCTGCATAAAAGCTTCCGTTTGGCCAAAGAAGATTTTGTTTTTTCTACACTGAAACACTACTCATGGCCAATAAAAACTAAATATATTAGTTTTGTTTCCAAGTAAAACTCTCCTTTTCCATTTTTGGAGTAAATTATCAGAATTATGAACACGCATTTTTGTCAGTGTTCTCAAAACTACATAACATTAAAATCGATTGGCCACAAGTGGCCCAGTTGTCAAAGTTTCACCCCTTGAGCAAGCCAGAAACCTATGATCATGGGTTCGAATCCTGCTTTGCCCTGATTATGTTTCTAGGTTTGTTGCCACCATACCCGTGCTATGGGTTTCACCAAGTGGTAAACATCTGAGACCTCCATCACTTCAGGCTTCCTCCCACATTACTCAAAATACTTAGAGGCTATGGTGACTGTGGCTAGTCAAAAAAATATCCTAAATTTACCGTATTTTTAGCTTCAGATCACCTAATCATATTTTTCCTCAGCAGCTTGGTAAAAAACAAGATATAAAGACACTACAGCCTTGTGAAAAAATTGTCATGCAGCAGGGCTGTGTGGACAACTTGGTTTGTTGTTTAACGCCGCACTCAGCAATATTCCAGCTATATGACGGCGGTCTGTAAATAATCGAGTCTGGACCAGACAATCCAGTGATAAATATCATGAGCATCGATCCACGCAATTGGGATTGATGACATGCATCAACCAAGTCAGCGAGTCTGACCATAACCCGATCCCGTTAGTTGCCTTTTACGACAAGCATAGTCGCCTTTTACGGCAAGCATGGGTTGCTGAAGACCTATTCTACCCCGGGGGGACACTTACTGATGACCACCCCGCCTCAGCTCATCCAGGTAGGCTGCGTTTTCCTCATCTCGTGACGATGTAGGAGACTGACGCCTCATTTCGGGACGATTTCTAGAAATATCAGAACAATCACCACCGTCAAAATTATTTTCCTCCGTCGTCAAAAAGCAGATGTACATTACTGAAAGCATAACCACTTAACAGGAATGAAACAGTAATAATGGAGTCGGCTCTACTTGACATTAAAATATTCAACAATAGTAATATATTACAATATGTTCGACTTGATAGCAGTGTTTAAACAGCCATTAAAGGCTGTTAGTTAGCCTGTCTGTGCAATGATATTTTAAATATAAATATTTACAAATATATGCAAATAATAATACTAATTATCTGCGAGAGATTTATAGATCAGGCTAAATATCCCCGTCAAAGTTTTAAACCACAGGTTAGAGTTAACTAAAATAAACACTAAATATGAGTACCATCTCGCAGCAAACATAATAAAGTGTTAGTACATTTTTTTAGATCAAATCTTGATAAAAAAACAACCAAGTCGTTCCTGAGTCACAGTTGTTGCTTGTTTCAGTATTGCATTGAAAAGAGACTGAAAACTTCTATATTGCGGGGTTCACACATTGTACCCGTTTGGAGAATCCAAACTGGGGCTTCGGTTTGACGTGTAAACGCTTTAACCAATGGGCTACTCCACCGCCCCTTAAGAAATATGAAAATATGAGACTACATTGTTCTCTTGATGGCAGTCACTTTATGGCTACAAACTGAAGCAAGCAACTGCAACAAATCAGGAAAGACAACTCTTGCAGGACCAGAGGTAGACAGCACAAGGAGAGGATTTAACATGGAGGAAAGGGACCATCTCAAAATAATTGTGTGAATATTCCCCCGTGTTGGTGGTGGGAGGAGAAAGGAACCAAACATGAGAAGAATTGGAACTGGGAAAATATCCAAGATGCAAAAACATATTATGTGGTTGAAAACGGCTTGGTAAAGAAAGGTCATGCATACCAAAAATACCAAAATACCAACGTCAAACTGTGCACTTTGAACAGTACCCTTCTGCTTTCCCCCTGCTTAAACAATTGCTAAAAGCTCATTAATATCAAATGAATAATTAATCTGTAAAAAAGAAGAATTTTCCACACAACGAAAAAAAACCCCAGGTTTCTCAAATGTAAAAAGTAAAATCTCATTCTTTAGCAGCTACTAAACATTTCTTTTCAAAATGTTACCTAAACTACATCAACTAAACTATCAAGATCTTAATTGTCAAAAAGCATTAACGATTGATAAAGCTTGTTTCTAGGACACCCATATAGATAAAGGCAGCGCTGGGCTTCCGCAGACTACAAGCAGGGAAAGTCAAGCCAGGCACACTCAAGTAGATCCTCTGGACATATATCCAACCTCTCTTGGGGCTGTTCTACATATTCTGGGTACACTGCTGAAGTACTCTGAATAGCATGCCTTGGCGGACTCGGCGGCCGTGGGCTTGGCGGGCGCGGTGACGGGCGTGGTGGCTCAAATCTACGCTGATAATCATCCTCTTGGTAGGTAGGCTGTAAGAAGCAAATATTCAACATGAACAAAAAATGAATCTGAAAAAGCTGAATCAGATATATCTAAATCCTTAACTCAAATAGTGACTCTGGTTAAGTTTTTGTGACGCCTGCATTTCATAGACTTAATAAAGTCCACTTTTTGTAGTTGGTCACTAATCTTTATACACATCAATGGCAGAATTGCTTAAAAAGGTATTTTTCTAAATTTTAATTCAAGAATTATCAAGGTTATCACATAACATTGTTAATCCAATTACTTCAACGTTACATGTCAAATTGGCTCTCTAATAAACTTTACTCAAACATTCCTGGAGTATCCACATTCCAACCAATCCTAACCTGAGAAGTATGTCCTTACACTGATTCTTTAATTAGATACATTGTGTGTTAATGTCCATAGTGCATTCAGCATGACTGTGAGTTGATATTGCAGTTCTATGTGTGAGAGGATATGAGTGCTAGATGTTACCAGAGTGTGTGTTACCACAAGAACACAGGTTTACACAAAGTTACAGGATTACATACTGGTATTAACAATGCTTTCATGAGATACACAGTGGATACAATATGTAACATTGTTAATACAGTGGCATATGGCATAAAATGTTTATTCACTGGTATGTAGGGATACAGTGTGGAGAGATATATGCTGAACAAGATCTAGACTTTACCACAAGACCTATACTAGTTTTACAGGATCGCAATCTCAATAAAATCAGATCTTAGTTATTGCTACTGCTAAACAAAGATCTGAGGACACCCCATTACAGGTCACGTCAGCAAGACTTTTCGCAAACTGTGACCAACCAATGAAATGACTAACAAGAAAATGATATTAGCCATTCAAAAAGCAGCTTTCTAGAGCTTTAATGCACAAGTTTCAAAATGATGCCATTCCAAACTACGCTTTGAAAAATCTTGATTCTAAATTTGAAAACTGAACTGTCTAAAAGATGGCCGAGATTGTATGGCAGTACCTTCATCAGACTATAGAAAGTCTCTTCTGTTTTGAATGTTTATTCCACGGTGATTCTGACGGAATCAGTTTACAACCTTGAACTGTGATTTGGAATGCAATGTGTTAACCTTTCAGAGATTGCAGAAATCACATTCTGCAACTTTCCCGATCTGGTAACCAACTCTCTGATTTGTTGGTTGAAAGGTCGTTCAGACGTGACCCAAAAAGGGATGTCCTCAGATCCTTGTTTAGCGGTAGCGAGAACTAAGATCTGATGTTAATGAGATTGACAGGATCAAGGATAAAGCATGCATGACTTAACACAGGTGTATTACACCAAAGGGGAAAGAGACTCCCTTTTCTACTGCCTGATACAGAAACAGCTATATATATTTGGACTAATGATATAATATTCTGTTACATAGCTGGATTCTTCAGCTTGCTGGGTTAAACCATACTTGCAATTCTAATGAACATTTGCAAAACAGTTTATCACTGAATAAAGCACAGAAAAGGTCTCAAAAGAAGTTCTTATAAAAACCAAAAAAACGTTTAATCAACATGTCCTTATTTGGAAAATCAATCAAGTTGAAAAAATATTTTAGTGGTACTAGGTCAAATGAGATTGTAATTTTAACAAATTGACATTGAAACAGTATATATCTGGTGGTCAATTAGGTCTGGTATATTAAAATCTATCTTGACTACACGCATGCAACTTTGAAATGAGAGCAAGGATATTTATATCAAGCATATAGTGAACAATAGGATTACCATGGGAGTCCACATAATGGTTTCACTAGTCACTTCAAACTAATATATTTACAAAATGTAAACGGATAAATTGAAGGGATTTCTAAGGACATACTACGGTAAAATTTTAAGAGCATGCAGACACATGGCAATCACTTTAAACAATTACCAACATGGCAATCACTTTAAACAATTACCAACATGGCAATCACTTTAAACAATTACCAACATGGCAATCACTTTAAACATTACCAACATGGCAATCAATCTAAACAATTACCAACTTGGCAATCACTTTAAACAATTACCAACATGGCAATCACTTTAAACAATTACCAACATGGCAAACAAATTATAACAATGCAACTGCAGAACACAGTGAAAAAGAGGGATTAGTGTCTGGGTTTCTAAAAGGATTTCTTATTCTGATCCTCAGATTTTATTATATTCACCATTTTAAGAAATATTTTCAGCAATAATTTGAAAAAATTGTTATTTCAGGAAAATACAAAACATGTCTTTTAAAAAGAAAATGAAATGAAATTTGCAATCATTTTAAAAACCCACTGGATCATTTCACGAACTATTTTTGCTTCTATAATTTTACACGCACTTAACTTCAAGAGAATTTTATGTCCAAAAAGTTTATATTTTAAGGAAATCAATCAATGCTTGTACTTAATTTCTTATATTTCAAAGAAAACAAAATGTTTTGAAAAACATCAACACATTCATTAAAATATTATGTGAAATATCAAAATCATGAAATTAGTTGTAAATTCAACAAAACTAATGGTTTCATAACCTGAGCAGCCATTTCGTGAAATGCTCCGGAGAGGAAGGGTTAAATAATATTACCATTGGCCTAGTATCCGACTCATGCGTGTGGTTCATGATTTGGTTGTGGTGGGCAAGAACCGCTGCCTCTAATGGTACCTGAGGTGGAGGAGGAGGAGGAGAATCCTCGATCACACTCGGTGACGGTCGCCAGCCATCGTAGAACACGGGGTTAAACGGGGGCGTGTAGCCTCTCCATTCTTCTCTGGAAGAGTAGCAACAGAATAAATGTATAGAGATTATCAAACAAGCATGTGTGTCATACTGATTTTACGAAACGAGTGTCAGAATTGTTGTATTTCCCGAGTGAGGGTAATACGTGAATTCTTACACAAAGTTTTGTAAAATCAGTATGACACACGAGTGAGTGTAATAATTTCTTTATTCTCCATTATTTCTTAATCCTTTTGGGCTCCCCTTTAGAAAAATGCAGTATCACCACCCATCCTAGAAAACCACCATTAGTTGATTGACGTCAACAATCTTAAGCTTTGACGTCATTCCTAGTGTGACGCCATGTAAATAACCGAGCCTGGACCAGACAATCCAGTGATTGACATGAGCATCAATCTACCTAATCGGGATATGATGCCATGCAATAACGAAGCCGGCCGGGTGTCACATCAATTGCAAATTCCACATTCAGCAACATTCCAGCTACATGCCGGCGGTCTGTAAATAACCAAGTCTGAACCAGACAATCCAATGATTGATATTGTAAACAACGATCCACACAACCAAGACACTGAGTCTGACCACTGTTTCCATTGCCTGTTACGACTAACAAACAACCACTAGCATAGGTTGCTGGAGACCTATTCTAATCCCCAGAGGGACCTGGTTGTTGTATCTAACCTGCTAGTTGTCCATTTGGGCCCCAACGCCTGCCATAGCTCGATCTCCTTGGACGTCAGACAGTTGAGCAACAGTTGTTTAGCTTCATGGTTGACAACAGGAGATATTGCCTGGTCGGCAAGATCCCGGTTGCCGTGGAACGGATCACGACTGGCTTCGTAGATCAGACTTAAAGGCGTAAACAGGAAGTGAACCAACTCTGGTGCATTGGGATCATGGATGTGCGCCTTTAACTTGGCCTGTAAAGTGAAGATAATATCTCATGACAGAAAGGAAGGTTGGTTGGTTGGTTTGTTGTTTAATGCCGCACTCAGCAATATTCCAGCTATATGACGGCGGTCTGTAAATAATCGAGTCTGGACCTGACAATCCAGTGATTGACATCATGAGCATCTATCCACGCAATTGGGATCAATGACATGCATCAACCAAGTCAGTGAGCCTGACCACCCGATCCCGTTAGTCGCCTTTTACGACAAGCATAGTTGCCTTTTATGGCAAGCATGGGTTGCTGAAGACCTATTCTACCCCGGGTCTTCACAGGTCAGAAAGGAAGGTAGTGAGGTTTGTTGTACCTATGTTATGGTTAACTCCCAAATCAAGGAGACCGGCCGCAGCAAATCTTGGATCGATAGTGAATGCAGAATACATTTCAGAAAGTGATCATAGCTCAATGATCATCTCAACTTTATGTTAACGTGTAGAAGTTACGACACAGTCAAATGGCCACAATCGTTTTGTGAAACTGGCCCAGGTCCTTGGGAGTCCTTGTGCTCATTGAACAAGAACTTAGTTCAGATAAATCTCACTGATGGCTCGAAAGAGGGTGTACATGTCAACTGCACCCTCAGTCAAGTCACTTGTAACTTAGCTATTACGTGCATCCCCCTTTTTCAAAGGGGATCAGCCCCTGGATCTTCGAACTAAAATGACATGATCTCTTACAAATTAACTGTGAAGTAGACGATGGAGGAAAAGATTCTTATTCATATTTCAAGCAAACTTGAATCCTGCTTTTTAGTACTAGCAGACTTGTCATGGTTTCCGAAAAATAGTGAGTGAGTGAGTGAGTGAGTTGGTTTTAACGCCGCTTTTAACAGTATTCCAGTTATATCGCGGCGTGTCAGCTTAATGTGGGAGGAAAGCCCAAACGATGCAGGTCTCAGACGTTTACCACTTCGGTGGAACCTACGAGCACGGGTATAGTGCTGACAAACATAATCGGAAAAATAAAAAAAGAGTGAATTAACTTACCAGCAGGTTGAAAGAAAACTTGAACTTCTGGAAAATATCGATAAAATCACTGGCAGGTGGGGGTCGGGCTCTGTGACTCAGCATGCCATCTGGAACAAAGTAGCACAATGTTGAAGCACCATACTCTCCACATACATCTCCATACTTGGGAAAATACTCAGGGCTCAAACTGTCCCCACAAAAGTTGAAAAAGAAGATATTTTATATTTGTATTTAGATATTTTGTCAAAGGTGATGCTCTCTGCATCTCAATATCTTCAAACGATAACCCTGAAATTTTAGAGTGAGTTGTGTTTAACACCGCTTTGAACAGTATCCAGTTACATCACAGCATTTCAGCTTAATGTGAGAGGAAAGCCCAGAAGAGATGCCTGTAGTTTACCACTTTGGTGAAATGCAAGAGCATGTGTATGGTGATGACAAACCTAGAAACATAATCAGGGCAATAACTTAGAGAATAATGGGCTTCAAACATGGTACCCATGTAGAGTATTGAACCTGGCTCCTTGGAATGACAAGCCAATGATTTAAACTCTTGGCTAAATGTTCAGCTGGCTGACTGAAGCTTGTTCAATGCTGCCTCAAGACAGAGGCAATCTGTATGACAAAAGCTGTTGTGCATTGTGACAACCTTGTTAAGGATAACACTGTGTGGAGCTTGCTCTTGTTAAGGATAACAGTGTACGGAGCTTGCTCTTGTTAAGGATAACAGTGTACGGAGCTTGCTCTTGTTAAGGATAACAGTGTGTGGAGCTTGCTCTTTTTAAGGATAACACTGTGTGGAGCTTATTCTTGTTAAAGATAACACTGTGTGGAGCTTGGGGAAATATGTGTGCGCATAAAACATTGATGTCCTAACAGGTGGTCATCAGTGAATAACAAAAAAGATAAATTTTGTGAAATATATTGTTTCTTAAACTGTAATAAATAATTGAAACATGGACCACACAGCAAATATTTCTCTGCGCAACTTAACTTTCAGTTTTAAGTGAGTATGTGGTGATAAATGAGCACAATCTGTTTACATCTCCATAGAAACATGCTCACATTCATGCACAACATTATTTGGGGTTTTGTTTCAAATTAATAAATGAAATAGGACCATGATCAATAAAAATAAAACATTCAAAATACGAAATGAAATAAATTTTCCATGCAAATGTCTAACTATTCACATTCCACACATAAAACCAGTGGAAGGGACATCCAGGTTACAATACAAACCCTGTTTTCGGTCTACATTTCCAGTGAAGCATTAATGTGCATCATAAGTAATGATGTAAGTAATAGTGTTATTGAAATACTGAAAACAAAGTAATGTATCATACGTTGTATTATTAAAAGACCAAACGTAAATTCAGGGCCCTTAATACGACTATACCCCGATACTATTACACAGTGAGTGAGTGAGTGAGTTGGGTTTTAACGCCACTTTTAACAGTATTCCAGTTATATCACGGCGTGTCAGCTTATTGTGGGAGGAAAGCCCGAAGTGATGCAGGTCTCTGACGTTTACCACTTCGGTGAAACCCACGAGCACGGGTATGGTGCTGACAAACCTAGAAACATAATCGGGGCGAACCGGGATTTGAACCCACAATCATAGGTTTCTGGCGTACCCAAGGGACGCAACTCTGCACAGCGATACTATTACACAGATTTAGGATCTTCGTAAAGTTGAGAATGCTTTGTGTGTGAGTGAATATGGTAATGCAGCTTTTGCAGTATTCCAGCAATATCACGGCGGGGGACACCAGAAATGAGCTTCACACATTGTACCCATGTCGGAATCGAACCCAGGTCTTCGGCGTGACTAGCGAACGCTTTAACCACTAGGCTACTTGCCATGTTTAAATGCAAATACTTCATTAGATTTTTTTCAAATGAGCGCACCACAGAGGTAGACATCCTAATCCATACAATTTTCAAATCTCTTTTGAAAAATAATGCTCATTTTGAAATCAATATTTGAAAAAGAAAAGATTTCTTCAACCACGAGTATCACTGAATGTGACATTATTGACCAGTGGCAGCTCACCTCCACTCTGTCTCTTTCGTGCCCGGTTGCCTCGCTCTCGTTTCCTACGTTCTAACTCCTTGTATGCTTCAGCTGCCTGCTGTAGTCGCGCCACAAACCGCTCGATGTCGTCAAAACAGTGATTCAGCAATTGCTGAAAGAGGGAAACAGTCAGTACACTTGCTGGTTTTCATACACAACAAAGAAAAAATCGTTTAGTCAAAATCAAACAACAAACAAAATTACCAAAAGTTTAAACTGGTTGTCACCAGTGGGAAAGCGGGAAATAGCCGCTTGTCTGTTAGATTCTGAAATGTTCCTTGCCCGACTGGCAGCTGAAATCGTAACGGTTATTTATTTACGCACAGTTCTCCCCTTTCTGTAGATTTTATTGACCATCAAAACATAAAAATCAAATATCCTTACTGAATTGATGTTGCGAAGTTACGAGCTCTGAGTTACCTTTCTTCAAAATATTTGGCTTATGATTTGCAATTTGAATCAAATGTTTTGGAAAATAAGCTGTTGCTCATTCAAGATAGTGAAATTTGAAGCTGGCTAATTATGTTAAAGGCTGGCTAACCAACCAGGGTTCCGTTCCTTAAAGCTATCTTAGCGCTAAGATGTTCATAAGTCCTATACTTTAACAAAGGTTTACGATTATCGTAGCGCTAAGATCACTTTGAGGGAACGGGCCCCTGGCCAGAAATATTTTGTGACTATTTCACAATCTGGTTGTCACCAGTAGCAGCGTGTCACCAACGAGCTGCACACATTTTACCTACTTGTTGAATCAAATCTGTGTGTTTGTTGTGATGAGCGAATGCTTAAGAAGTCTATTCCACTGACGCTCGTGCTATTGAGGGGCAGTAAGGTAGGCTGGTAGTTAAAGTGTTCGCTTGTCAAGCCAAAGGCCTGGGTTTGATTCCACATATTGGTAAAATGAGAAGCCCCTCCCTCCCTTTGTCATTGTTACAGTGCCACACTGAAGACACATCATGGGGAGTGAGTGAGTGAGTGAGTTGGGTTTAACGCCGCTTTTAACAGTATTCCAGTTACATCGCGGCATGTCAGCTTGATGTGGGAGGAAAGCCTGAAGTGATGCAGGTCTCTGACGTTTACCACTTCGGTGAAACCCACGAGCATGGGTATGGTGCTGACAAACCTAGAAACATAAGTGGGGTGAACCAGGATTCGAACCAACAATCATAGGTTTCTGGCGTGCTCAAGGGATGCAACTCTGCACAGCGAAATGTGGCACCTTAGACGACCCCGTGCCCCCACATCATGGAGAGAGAGTCCTAGTCTCATACAGTTACTTCATAGAGTTGGGTACAAGACTCCACTCGAGTATATATACTTCTCAAAAGAGCAAGCGAGTGAGTATGGTTTTACGCAGCTTTTATCAATATTTCAGCAATATCATGGCGGGGGACACCAGAAATGGGCTTCACACATTGTACCCGGGAATCGAACCTGGGTGTTCGGCGTGACGGGCGGACACTTTAACCATGCTATTGAAGAATCAGAACTGATCTACCCTCCTTACCACATCTTTCTCTAGGACTTCATTCTGTCCACCATCTTGTATGAATGGAATGTGGTTGCCAGGGCGCCGGGGGCCAGAGGGACCAGCATACTGCTCTGAAAGAATAGATCACATGTAAAATAAAACTTCAAATTTATATTGTCCTTTACATCCATTCTTCCAAACAAATGGACCTAAGGTCACACTTTCTTAATTTTATGTTTCACTGATTTATTGCAGCTCTCCACACTAGGTCGGTCAAAATAAAAGAAAATATAAATGGCTATGTCAATCATTTATATATATGAAAGTCATTCAGCCATGGAGTCAAAAATGCAGGTGGATTCTTGAATCACTGATAGTGATGGAGACAGAGAATTTAATATTGTACAAGATGCCCTTTACTACAGTTGGGAAACATAAAATAAAAAATATTTTTAGGTTTAATATCTATTTTTCCCCCAGCTGCTTTTCAGAAAGGGTGGCAGGCCCGTGAAACAAAAAATAAAATATGTGTGGCCTAATCTTAAAGAGCATGGAATCAGATAGGTTGTCATTTTTCAACGCATGCATTCTGTTTGCATGTCAGGAAACACCTATTTTTCACTTCTTATATCCACTATTTGGTTGCTCAAAGCTCAATAATCTACATGGTAACTGAGCTGGTCAGTGACTGGTAATAAATTCTATAACACTCCTGAACAATACACAGTATAATTTCCTACAACAATGTAACAGTCATGCATTGTATCATTGCTCTAACACAGTAAGTCCCAGGCCAAATACATACATATACACACCACTGTAAACATTGTACACACAGATAAACAAAGTTAATCATAACAACAAATCTCCCATTTGTACTAATCCCCTATTCCTAAGGCCTCGCACTGAAGGCTGACCAAGGCTCTGCTCACTACAATGTAGATGGAGCATAGTTTGTAAGGAGGCTGTCAACTTGGCAGGAGTACAAGATCACCAGTGGGTCATGATCAATCTCGGTGTAGTGAGGGCGGGGCTGGTTACTTTGTCTAGCTGACATGGTGAAAGTAAGGCCTTGTGTGATGTGACCACACCCATATTTATCCATGTCACGATTTCAAATTGTGTAACAAACTCACAGCAGATGTTATACTCAGGCTTTAAGAAAACATTTTTTTGGTTAAAAAATATTGGTAAAATATTATATAAGTGTATGTAATACCAGATAAAGGAAAGCCATTCCTACAGTCTTGCTTCTACTTACATGTCAAACTAACAACAATATATATCTTGTCCTGTATGAATCAGCTCTTAAGTACTTATCACATGGTTTAAGATCACCAGCCAACAATGGATGATTCTGTATACATGTACTATGTATGAGAAAAAGTATTTACAAAAAAATAATTTGGAATCAATATTTATAGACAAAAAAACGAAGGAACAAAAGTTTGAAATATATTTAGGACTTATTAGGACTATACATTAAGGTAAAAACAACACATGCCGGTTCAAAGTTCTTTTTTAACATAATAATTGTACAGACACCTAGAATATTAGGATTAATATCGTATCAAGATGCAAATTTCATTGAGCACCCACATCTAGATAATTACACGGTAGACAAATATACATTCGGGTGGGGCGGGCAACAAAACAGGCAGTCTGTCAACACCACAAGGGCAGAGTGACATTGCCTCAGCTTCAGTTGCTGTTTACATGGACATGGACGTTGTGACGTGCATCTTGAGTGAGTTAGTGAGTGAGTTTTAACAGTATTCCAGTTATATCACTGCATGTCAGCTTAATGAGGGAGGGAAGCCCGAAACCAACAAGCACGGGTATGGTGCTGACAAACCTCGAAACATAATTGGGATGAACCGGGATTCGAACCACAATCATAGGTTTCTGGCGTGCCCAATCGACGCAAATCCGCACAGTGAATCGCGGCGCCTTAGACGCCCGTGCCACCCGTGCCCCCCTGTTACACATGATATAATAGAGAACTTACCGACGTTACTCCTCATGCCGTACATTCCTGGGGGTTCTGGGGGGCGCTGTGATGGTGGTGGGGGAATCCTTTGGCTGCAAAGAAATACATAGATTATTCCAGATCATTTCAATGTGGTCCAACTCCTCTTTTCAAGGCAACATTCCACAGCCCTACTGAAGACCAAAGCAATCAGAAAAACAATGTCTGTATTGTTTGTATTTTGTTTAACTTCACCACACTGTTCCAGCTACAATCGAGTCTGGATCAGACAATCCAGTGATTGCCATCATGAGTATCGATCCACATAAATGATAGATGACATGCTGTCAACCAAGTCAGCGAGCCTGGCCACCCGATCCATTAGTGACCTCTTCCATTAAGCACAGGTTGCTGGGGGACCTATATTCTTACGCAGGATCCTCACGGGTTTCATACAATAAAATGATCAAATACCTTGAAAAATGATAATTTGTATCCTTTTCAACATTTTCCGTGTGATTAGCCTTATCACTATGGCACAATGAAGTTTGGTGTACCAATTTAACATATATTCAACTATTTCATTCTTTGGTTGGCCTGTATATAAGGTCATATTATCATGGAAGACTTGGTTGTCTTATCTTGGTTGCTGTTACACATACATATACCACCCTCGTGACAAACGTTAAGAACTAGCATATTTTTCCGAGAAATCTACTGCCCAAGATGGAGGCCTTCCGCACTGTGACTTGGCTTGTGTTGTGTACTCCACGTAAGGCCCGATATAACCACATCTTTCCCAGCTATTGTAGAAGCAACAAGGTACAAACTATCCTTCCACCTCACAGGACAATCAAACATACATTTCAAGCCAAACAATCACAAAACATCCTCCATCTCTGAAAACACATTCCTCCGTCATTGTTCTCTACATCCTTGACAAACCTTAAGATGAAAACAAATATCAACAGAAAAATGAAAAAAACCAACCACACACTAACGTCATTATCAGCTCTGAAATAACTGACCTGCACTGTATGTCCTTCAGGCCTACACAGAACTAAGTAAAATCCCCTGGCAACCAGCTGAGACATCTATAATCTTCTGAACCCACTGCACAACATGGCTACCATGACCGATGGCTCATTAAGAAGTGTTGACTATGCTAATCAGACTCGGTGTACCAACCTCACACTTGCCTTGTGAAACGACAACGCTTTACATTAACAAAAGTCTGACAAGTTGATATCTGGTGTAAATAGCTCGCCGTCATGTCAATATTAGCATTAACCGTTACATGGCTGTGTACCACGATGGTGGATATGAGCGTATATTGCAGGGTGCTGTGACATGCACTGAGCAGCATCGCTAGTGGATGTGACAGTGGGTGGCGCTTCCACAAACACTCAACACACGAGGCAGTCACAGCAACCTCTGTGGTAACTACCTGTTGTTGAAACGGGTACTCCTGGAAATACTGTAGAGCGTGTATTGGGTGCCCAGATTGTATCATTGGTTCGTTGTGTAACGTCACACTTAGCAGTAATTGAATTATGACAGTGACCTGTAAGTAATTGAGTCTGGATCACACAATCCAGTGATTGATATGTGCAACATCATGCAATAAACAAAGTCACTCAGCCCGACCACCTTCCCTGTACCCACCTGAAGGCAAGCTTAGATCTACCCCACCCCTAATACCCACAACTGTTAGACCGACAGTGAAAACATGTACCCATCCCAGAGCATGCTTAGCTTCACCACCCCACACTCACAACCCTGAGACAGAAATGAGGCTGACATGTACTCGCCCTTGGCCAAGCTTAGATCCACCACCCCACACTCACAACCCTGAGACAGAAATGAGGCTGACATGTACTCGCCCTTGGCCAAGCTTAGATCCACCACCCCACACTCACAACCCTGAGACAGAAATGAGGCTGACATGTACTCGCCCATGGCCAAGCTTAGATCCACCACCCCACACTCACAACCCTGAGACAGAAATGAGGCTGACATGTACTCGCCCTTGGCCAAGCTTAGATCCACCACCCCACACTCACAACCCTGAGACAGAAATGAGGCTGACATGTACTCGCCCTTGGCCAAGCTTAGATCCACCACCCCACACTCACAACCCTGATACAGAAATGAGGCTGACATGTACTCGCCCATGGCCAAGCTTAGATCCACCACCCCACACTCACAACCCTGAGACAGAAATGAGGCTGACATGTACTCGCCCTTGGCCAAGCTTAGATCCACCACCCCACACTCACAACCCTGATACAGAAATGAGGCTGACATGTACTCGCCCATGGCCAAGCTTAGATCCACCACCCCACACTCACAACCCTGAGACAGAAATGAGGCTGACATGTACTCGCCCTTGGCCAAGCTTAGATCCACCACCCCACACTCACAACCCTGAGACAGAAATGAGGCTGACATGTACTCGCCCTTGGCCAAGCTTAGATCCACCACCCCACACTCACAACCCTGAGACAGAAATGAGGCTGACATGTACTCGCCCTTGGCCAAGCTTAGATCCACCACCCCACACCCACAACCATGATACAGAAATGAGGCTGACAACATGCACTCACCTTTGGCCAAGCTTAGATCCACCTCCTCTGGCTGCTAATATTTCATCTACAATCTCTTGAGACTGAAAATAATCAACAACATTTATTAGCATAGTCTGTGGTTCATTTCCACCATTAGTTTATCCTTCTACATATATGCACGTTGCACTTTTATTTGATATGGATTAAAATCTGTACACTGCACTTGACCAAGATGTTTAGTCCATGACAGCCTTCGATATTGACCTAGTCTGCTACCCCGTGACTACTAAATTGTGCTGAGGATAAGTAAAAATCCAAAGATGGAAGTTGTCATTGACCAGTAGCATTTGAGGGCTATGAATCTGAACCAGCTGTCAATGTTTCAATTTCGCTGCAAATTTGAACTGAATAAAACTGACAGAAAATGTAAACATAGTAAACATTATTGTCTCATTCTACCATGAATTTGGAATTTACTCTATTCTGATTGGTCAATCAGAGGCTATGAAATCACAATAAACCCCCTCTGATTGAAACAGCTGGTTTGACGGCAGCTTCACCGCGGAAGCTAATATTCATAGAATCATACTATTTTCAGTCATTGTCGATAGGCATATATAAATAATTATATCTACAATTACATGTTACAAAATGCACAGATGCGGTTACTATAATATTCAAAGGATGTGTTGCAATACATTTCGTGCAGAAAACACGATAAAAATCTACAAAGGGAATGTATTTACGTTTTGGAGACAACAGAGAGCTGCGTATTCCAAATTCAATTTAGCGGGGTTAAATCTACAGGTAACCTAGCTCTACATTGAAAACACAGTATGTTTATCTCCCAATTACAGCAGGACTACCCCCTCTGAGGATCAGTGAATATAGATTTACTTAAAACTGTTGAGGTTGCATGATTGAATATGCAAAATTTGGGTAAAACTTCATGTGATGGGGAGTGCCAAGAATCGGGTCTTCTGCATGGTGAACTAACGCTTGAACCACAAGGTTACCCACCTCCCAACAGAGACTCCTTATAGTTTAACGCTCACAGACAAATGGCAGTTGAAACATCAATTTGTGGAAGGACCAAAATGTGTACTCTGTGTAGCTGCAAACAGCATCAATATGGAGATGCCACACTACACTGGTCCCTGACCGGGTGTTTAACTACAGTGTTGCACTGAGCGATGTACTGGTCGTAACTGCACGAGGAAAAGGTCGAAGAGGAAGAAGCACTAAAACTTTCTCGCAAAAGGAACAAATGTTCTCAATCTAATACTTCTTAAAAACCTAGCCAGTGGTTTCCTGCTATCTCAACCTCTGAGAAACCACAACTACAAGATTAAAGGTTCATATGACCATCAGTAGTTAGTGAGTGAGTGAGTGAGGCTTTATGCCCGTCAGTTATGTGAGTGAGTGAGTGATTGAGTTAAAATTTAATGTCACATTGGCAATATCACGGCCATATCGTGACGACCCGTGACAAGTATTTCAGTCACATCACAACATGGGCAGAAAGCTCTACATTGACCGCTTTGATAACGCCTATATATGCAAAGTCTAGGTACAGACAAACCAGGTTCTAAATTCATTATTGGTCACATCTGGGATTCAACCCAGGACCAGCAGGGATCATTTCGCAAGTTGGAACTATGGGTCATATTTGAGATAAAACAATATAACATCAGAATACCAAGTCCACAAAGTGATCTTATCGCTACGAATATCGTAAGCTAGGATCTCCTTGTGGAAGGGGTTCCAGGTTACCCAACTGAGTGAGTGAGTGAGTGAGTTGTGTTTAACGCCGCTTTTAACAGTATTCCAGTAATAGCACGGTGTGTCAGCTTAATGTGGGAGGAAAGCCCCAAGTGATGCAGGTTTCAGGCGTATACCACCTCGGAGAAACCCACGAGCACGGGTATGGTGCTGACAAACCTAGAAACATAATTGGGGCTAACCAGGATTTAAACCCACATTCATAGGTTTCTAGCGTGCCCAATGCAACACTGCACAGCGAATCGCGGCGCCTTAGATGACTGGGCCACCTGTGCCCGCTTTACCCAACTGAGCTGCCTGCTGGAATGGAACACTTCTATATTCTGCTCCATGAGTGACGTGTTTTATATATTGAAACTACTCACAGCCACACTAATACTCTGGAATATGTGCAGGTCTCCCTGGCCGCTCTTCCTGCGGTGGTCCTCCACCACAGTGAACAGGATCAGGTTATTGTACACCTCCCGGCGGTCGTTCTTGAACACAGCAGTTGGGTCCACTATACATTCCATAGGAAAACGCTCCAGCTCTTCCTGCAAACACAACAGAGTTGGGACCATCAATTGCGGCATTACAGCACATCGTCAACCAGTTTCTGATACAATGCACATCGTCAACCAGTTTCTCAAGCAATACACATCATCAACCAATTTCTGATACAATGCCTAAAACAAATATACTCCTAAACAAGTCTACAATACTTTGGCAAGTGTAGATCTGCCTAGTTTCAGGAATATGAAGAGATTCTCTGGGCTTCTTTCTCTAATATATTTAAAAACATTTTTTATAAAAACACCAATTAAATATTTTAATTTCAGAGAGGAAACATTAGTCTAGTTTGACCTGCAATACATAGGGCTGTTTCATCAACCCGCAGTACACACATCACAGCGAGATAACCATCTTTCAGCTGAGCAAGTCTCAAGCAGAGTGTCCGAAATAAATGGGTTCCCAGGTCCTTGAGATTAGCTCCCTAGCTTGTTAATCAAAGTATTTTCAAGCTTTCTGCTTATGAGAATGACCCTCTGACTAGCATCCTTAATTTCAAACACTGATGATGCAATTATTTGTTTGCGTGGAATCAACATAATCATGTCTATTTAAAAAAATAAAATCGAAAGAGTGAGTGGGGTTTAACGCCATTTTGAACAGAATTCCAGTTATATCACAGCGTGTCAGCTTAATGTGGAAGGAAATCCCAAAGTGATGCAGGTCTCATATCTTGAAATAACTTTTTCCCCATAACATGATCTAATAATCATAATAAACAGATGATAATTCAAATAAAAAACTTTAAACATAGTTGCAGACAATCCCACGTCAAGCCATCTACAAATGCCCCCACTTACAGTAGACGTCCATCTACATGGTATGGGATCCCCGAGTTCTCAGTCTACACTAAGAGCCTTAAGACCCTACAGTACATTCCTCCATGCACATATCCCTGTCAGTCACCAGCTACTCTGTGGCTGACACACTGCCTGGACACTTTATAGTACAAATCACATCTCTGTCCATTGTCCCACAGGACCCCTACAATCTGCCTGAAGGGACAAAAACAAACTGGTTAGCAGAATATTGTTTGAAGGACTTAAAATAAATGGGCCAGCATCCAGTTGTTGTCAGCACTCATATCCCTTGTGTATGACAATAGCTTAGAACTACTTAAAATAATGCCACATATTTACTTTGAGGGATTATCACAGCCCTGTTGGGGACTGCTATGTTGTGGCAGCAACAGTGTTGCCAGAAACAAGCCAAGCCCACAGGGAGCTTGAGATTATCCTCGTTAATGCACGAAGGCACCTGGACGTGCACACAGGAGCTTAATAAACAACATAAGGTGTGACGGATTAGGGGTATAACTCATGTCCCTCATCAGTGCTGAAGCTGACTACTCGCAGTGTCAACCCACAGCTCAATGGCCAGTCATGGGTGACAGATTGGAGAGCTGACCTACATTGATGGTAGTAAAACTGGTGCTGTTTCTCCTTGAGTGAATGTTATCATAAATATTTTGTGGTGTGAGATTACAGAGGGTAATGTAATGATAAAGTTGGATTTATGAAAGCTTATAGATTTCATAGAGAACAGATTTAAGACTTGGTCTTAAATCTGCTGAGTCGACAAATGACATTCAGTAGATTATTTCATTCAGATGTAAAAACATAAAGCTAGTATCAGAGATGATAGAGAATGTTGTGGAGTCCAGCATTTCTGGTGGCTCTGTATTTACGTGTTCTACCTACAAGTGAGGTCTGTCATTTAATATAGGGGTGGATCAGCAGAGGTAGACAGGGTTGGTCTGTATTTCTGTATTCTACCTACTGGTGGAGTCAGTCATTTAATATAGTGAGTGAGTGAGTGAGTATGGTTTTACGCCGCAATATTCCAGCAATATCACGGCGGGGGACACCATAAATGGGCTTCACACATTGTACGAGCGAACGCTTTAACCACAAGGCTACCTGACCACCCCCATTTAATATAGGGGTTGATCAGCAGAGGAAGGCAGGGTAAGTCTGTAGTTCTGTATTCTACCAACTGGTGGAGTCTGTTATTCAATATAGGGGTGGATGAGGTAAAAAATATGGGGTCATGTCAAACCAGAGTTGTGAAATGAACTATGTAATTTGGATAAGGATCACGACAAAATTCTTCTTTTTTTTCACAATGAACTAATAGTTAATGTCTGCAGCATTAGTGCTTATGAATGTAAAATCTCCTACCCATTCACCACAGTCCGATTGTTTAAATGAGACCAGTAAGAGAAACCAAACTTTGGCAACTCATCCTGAAAACTTGCATTGCCCTACTTGTGTCAATGTGGCTGAAACATCACCCTTGCTGATGGTATGTCAATGTATGTATCAAATTCCTCAGCTAATCTGGACATCAGCTACCCACTTCTACAGACAGGTCTTATTTGACCATGATCAAGGATAATGAATTCAGAATACCATTCAGTGGCTGCCATTAACCAAATTCTGTCAACCTTGAAATTTGTCCCACATCTCAGGCCATGCTTACATTGTAGACTGTGCTACTTCCCTGGTATATAACCGATATATCCCAGACCAAGCTTACATTGTAGACTGTGCTACTTCCCTGGTATATAACCCATATACCAGACCAACCTTACATTGTAGACTGTGCTACTTCCCTGGTATATAACCCATATATCAGACCAACCTTACATTGTAGACTGTGCTACTTCCCTGGTATATAACCCATATATCAGACCAACCTTACATTGTATATTGTGCTACTTCCCTGGTATATAACCCATATACCAGATCAACCTTACATTGTATATTGTACTACTGCCCTGGTATATAACCCATATACCAGACCAAGCTTACATTGTATATTGTGTTACTTCCCTGGCATATAACCCATATACCAGACCAACCTTACAGTGTATATTGTGCTACTTCCCTGGCAAATAACCCATATATCAGACCAGCTTACACTAAGTTTGATGCTTTGCATTCTTTAAAAAGATTTCCTACATACATGCATGGGCATAAAAAAAAGTCTCTTGTAAATTTCTTGCACAGGAAAAACAACAAAGCCTCTTGTAAAATTCCTGCACAGGAAAAAACAAAGCACTCTTACCCCTGTGCTCTTATCGAGAACAACAAGTGCTCGTCTCTCCACGATGAGGATACAGCGCATGGTCCAAATGCCAGTGGTATTCTCCATCTTACGGAGCCGGTGAAGGCCATCCTCAACACTGATCACTCCTGTAAAACAATAAGGAGAAAATGTTGCAGTGTTGTCATCAACATGGAAGCTGTAGGCTTCTGACTAATTAAAAGTCTTGGGGACAAATCTAAATATTTAATTGTATAGTGAGTAAGTATGATTTTACATTGCTTTTAGCAATATTCCAGTAATATCATGGCGGGGGACACAAGGAATGGGCTTCACACACTGTACCCATGTGGGGAATAGAACTTGGGTCTTGTGTGACAAGAAAACGCTTTAACCATAAGGTTTTTTTATTTATTTGTGGGCTTGGTCTTCACTAGAAAAAAGACATACCCCCAAATATTCATGATCACTTAACTTTTGTGTTCAGAATAGATATATTTTGGTCTTCACTAGAAATAATTAATAATAATTAATAGTATGGACCAGACCAGACAATCTAGTGATTGATATCATGAGCATAGATCTATGCAATTTGGATACAATGACATGTGAGCGAGCCTGACCACCTGATCCCTCAAGTTGACACTTACGATGACCAAATATCTAGATAAGAGTCTATAAGTAGAGTTAGATTAGCAGGAGTGCCCTGATCCTGAGCTACAAGCTTCAACCTACCTGATCGTGTGCCGGCTGTGTAGGTTGCCAAATGATCCAGCTCAAACACAGGTTCATTTGAATGTTGTGCATAATCTAACAAACTGTTCTGATCTGAAAAAAAAGCAAAGAGACACAATTAGAAACATCAAGAATGTAGGTCCATGTGAGGAGAGGAAGGTTCAGGCAATGGATTCTGGGTAAGTGAAATGCCATTACTGGCACAACTAATTGTGGATAGTTGACAGAGAAGACTTTTTTTTGTAAATCTGAAGATTTAGTTATAGTGTGAGAGCGAGTTGGGTTTAACACCATTTGAACAGAATTCCAGTTATATCCACATCATGTCAGCTTAATGAGGGAGCAAATCACCAAGTGATGGGTCTCAGATGTTGTATACCACTTTGGTGAAACCCTATAGCAGTAGGTGAGTGAGTGAGTGAGTGAGTGAGTGAGTGAGTGAGTGAGTATTAACAGTATTCCCGTTATATCACAGCGTGTCAGCTTAATGTGGGAGGAAAGCCTGAAGTGATGCAGGTCTCAGACGTTTACCACTTCGGTGAAACCCACGAGCACGGGTATGGTGCTGACAAACCTAGAAACATAATTGGGGCGAACCGGGATTCGAACCCACAATCATAGGTTTCTGGCGCGCCCAAAGGACGCAACTCTGCACAACGAATCGCAGCTCCTTAGACGACTGGGCCTCCCGTGCCCCCAGGAGTAGAGGATGGAAAATGATGAGAAGAAGAGAAGAGTGAGCAAGCTAAGGTTCGGCTGCTGTCTACATCACTGTAGTATCATCACAGGTGGGAACAACACACAAACTGTACAGGACGTTCAGATTCAAACTAAGCCCTTGTCATTATAATCAAACAAACACTACATGGCCATCTCAACTATCTGCCATAAGGCAGCAAGAAGTCTGATACATAATTTTGTTAATGAGGTCTTTAGAAGTTGGTAGATCAGACACACAAAATAAATGGATTTCAACAAGTATTTCTCATACACAACGTTTTGAGTCTATGTACTTCTTGCCTTCTTTCAGTGGCATTTAGAAGTTGGTGTGATGAAGTAAGACGAGTTCTATGGATGAACAACTTCTTTATTACAATTAGTGCGACGTTTCGGTGTAGATCCTAACACCTTTATCAAGCAAGTGATGAATAGTGCTAAACAACATAAGTATATATACTTATTAACATCAAAGTTTATACAGTAAATTGATTGATGGACACAGAGAGCTGATTAAGATAATTGGAAGCCAGTGGATGACTAATGAACACAGAGTCAACAAGCAGACTGATAGAGATGATGGAAGCCAGTGGATTAATTGAATGGAATAGGGATTTAGCAATTAGGTGATGGTAAGCAGGCGGGATGTAATAGCCTTGGTCTCTGTTCATTGCTGGCTGGATCCTTACCCCCAAGACACCTACCACCATACCCCCAACCCCATTACACCAAATTTCCAAAAATCTCAACAGTCACTGCCCCAAACAATATGTTTTTATATTCAGCCTTTGCACTAAGGTCATGCTTGTGTCTGAATAGCACACCCACGTCACAGGCAACTGTGTAACACAACAAAACATCTCCCACAATCATCAAACTTTGTCGCTGTGCCATCCAGATTTTATTTACACATCTGTCAAATATCACCAGTTGGTTGACTGAAAGGCCATTACTACACGACAAGTAATTAATATCAAGTGTCTCCGGACCAAAGTTCATCCACAACCCTGGTGAGATGACCCTCCAACAGCAGGCTGGGCTGACTACATACAAGGAGCAAGAACTTCTACTTGTTGAGACAAACAAGCTGATGACCATGTACACGAACCCACACTTGGACAACACTGTGTGTCAACTGTCATGTTGACACAACCCGTCTTCTGATCTGAGCCAGCAAGACGCTTCACAGTGCATTCATAAAGACACATACATTATGATTCAAGTATTATAAGCATCTGGATATATTACTTTAATTTGAGTGAGTGAGTGAGTGAGTGAGTGAGTGAGTGAGTGAGTGAGTGAGTGAGTGAGTGAGTGAGTGAGTGAGTGAGTGAGTGAGTGAGTGAGTGAGTGAGTGAGTGAGTGAGTGAGTGAGTGAGTGAGTTTTGATGCTGGTTTTAGCAATATTCCAGCATATCATGACGGGAAACACCAGAAATGGGCTTTACACATTGTATCCATGTGGGAAATCGAACCCGGGCCTTTGATATGAAGAGCGAACACTTTAACCAACAGGCTGCCCCACCGACCGTACTTTGATTTGAAATTCAAATATTGATGAACAGAAACTTCAATAGGCAACATAGTATAGTGTGACCGAGGATGGTCTACACCTATTTTGGCAATAATCCAGTGATATAATAGGGGTAAACAACAAGAATGGGCTTCACACACTGAACCTATTATGGAATAGAACCCAGATATTCAGCAAGCCAGCACTTAACCACTGGGCTAAGACACTGTACCAACTTAAAATAAAACTTTATTTGCAGTATTTATATTGTGAAATGTACCCACAATCGGTTAAAGTTGGTCTTTATGCCACTTTGAATAGTAATTCAGTTACATCACAGCGGGATACAAGAGGTATACCACTCTAGTAAAACTCACAAGCCTAAATATGGTGCTAACAAACCTGGAACCATAATCAGGGCAAACAAGAATTCAAACCAATGATATGAAGTTTCTGGCAAGCCTAATGGACGCAATTCTGCCAAGTGAATTCCGGCGCCTTACATGACGGGGCCCCCCAAACAGTGAAGAATGTGTTTATTTTTAAGATGCAATTGTATTCAAAACATACATCACCAACTGTGACGTATAAAAATGTTATTTCCTAACATTACATAACAAAGTGGGCCTAGGATTTTAAACTATTGGCTTTACAAAATAGCAAACAATCTTGTTGGACAGGTTTTCGTGCAACTCTACACCTCAGTCCCTCGCACAGGTATTGTTGTGCCCTCTAACCAGCAACGAACCACAGCAAATACTTAATGCCATGAATGAACACTACCAATCTGTTGGCTGTGACCTGGGCCGTTACTTTGCAGGATGAAAATAGTCATAGCACAAGTATTGGCAGCACAAGTATTGGCAGCCCAAGCAAGAGTGATTTAAGTCTTCATAATTTGACCTTGTTTGTCTGTTATCATGACCTTTATGTGGTACAATACAGCAGTTAATGATTGCCCTTATCAAATGCAGACAACGTCCCAGTTTCACACATTGCACGAAAATGCAATGTCCAGATTGGTATCAGAGCATGAAGCAAAGCCCTCTGTGATTTTCAGCTCCAAGTGAAATATAAAGCACCAATGCCATAGAATAACCCATCTTGATTATACACCAAAACAGATTCCATTGGGCGCAAAAGGCAAAATAGCAGTGAAACTTATATGAATGGATCACTTAAAATCAGTGATAACACCAGTTGTAAGTGAAAACGGTAAGCATGTCCTGTCATACTGGTAGCACCTGCCACTCACAAATTTGCAATGCTTGTTTAACAAATCCAACCTGTCATTGTAAACAGCCATCACATAACAATATGTGGGAGTTGTATGCTTGTAAAGACATGCTAAAGTGCCATGACTGTTATGTTTTTCTCCATGTGGCACACACAGGTCAATGTGTCCAATATTCCCCGGGTGGCACACACAGGTCAATGTGTCCAATATTCCCTGGGTGGCACACACAGATCAATGTGTTCAATATTCCCTGGATGGCACACACAGATCAATGTGTTCAATATTCCGTGGGTGGCACACACAGATCAATGTGTTCAATATTCCCTGGGCGGCACACACAGGTCAATGTGTTCAATATTCCCTGGGTGGCACACACAGATCAATGTGTTCAATATTCCCTGGATGGCACACACAGATCAATGTGTCGAATATACCCCGGGCAGCACAAAGAAGTCAATGTGTTCAATATTCCCCGGGTGGCACACACAGGTCAAAGTGTCCAGTATTCCGTGGGTGGCACACACGGGTCAATGTGTTCAATATTCCCTGGGTGGCACACATAGGTCAATGTGATCAATATTTCCTGGGTGGCACACACATCAACTGGCCCTTATCTTCTCAATCAACAAATAGAATTAAAAAAAAAGAAGACAAAAATTCAATTTTAAAAAAAAAGACTGCCTTGATAATCATGATAATGTCAAAAGATTTTTGGCATACAACAAAAGTAACTTTCTGCAGTTTTCAACCATTTTGGGAAGTTGTTAAATTGAGGCTAATATGACAAATTGATAAATGACAAAATATATACCTGACATCAAAAGAAACATATGTCCTATAGATCTTTACTATTTGGTAGGGGCGACTATTGGTCTGGAAATCACTATTGCGATAACTATTCATATTGCAAACAACTATTGCGATAAATATCGATAGTTTTCAGTGTATCATTTTAGAGAGATTACCCTAATAATTTAAGAAAAAGAAACGCCAACATTACCATGTGTAAATTGCTACCACTCATGATCAAAAGAAAAACAAATTTGAACAGTATTGCATGTATTTTATTGATATGGTAAAAACAATCAAAGCTATCGATGTTCCTAACTGAAATCGATACTATTGATAGGAAAATGATTTAACAATTGATTTATTGACTTTAAGTGCTTAGCAATAGCAATATATCGATATATCGATTTATCGTGACACACCTACTAATTTGGTGCCCTCTAAAGCTAGGGATGAGAAAGTTTTTTAACCATCGCCAGGGTACGGGGAATATAAAATATAATGGAATATTGTAATGGTACGTGTCACAACAGTGACCCTTGACATAACAAAATCATGGATCTGCGGAAAATTCGCATCCCCGTAAATCCCAACATGTGATTATCGAGACACATTGGAAGAGTACTGAAGAGTAAAACTGTTCACGTTAATCCTGCAGTCCCAAACACATTAAAACAAATAAAACTTTAAGATCTGTCAAATCTTTCTGTCACCCCCAGCTTTGCCAAGACTGCAGTAGGTTCAGGCTACACGTTTGGGAACCAGTTCCTCTAGGCTGAACATTACCCAGTGAAGACTACAAGTTCCCCCAGCTAGTTTACACTGATTGGATGTGGTCCTGTCCCCAGGGTGCAGAGGCCCATCTTCACCTTCTCCTGCACTCTGACACACACACATGGCATGTAACTCCTAAATCATTGACTCCTGTAGCATCTAAACAGGTCTTCTGAAGATTATAACAAGAAGCATCAACTTACATCTAAACCTTAAAGTCAAAGAGTTTCCGGTTTGTTGGTCTTAGGAGGAAGTCAGCTGCCAATTTTCCAGATTTCAGGGCATGATTGAAATTATTTTTGACAAGCATGTCACTTAAAATAAATTCATGTATTTTAAAGCCATGATAGCTCAACCTTAAATCCTAAAGTCAAAAACTTTCTGGCTTTCCTTTTGCAGATGAAGACAATAACAAAGTTTATTTGATTTCAAGTTCTGACAGTCAAGTGAGACTCTAATCCAACCTTACTTCAGAGAAGAGGTCTGTTTTATCACGACATGAAATTTGACACAGATTAACTGGTCTTTATGAAATATTTGCCAACAATTTTTAAAACCTTGCAATTCTTTCTCAACAAATAACATGAAACACCCTCCCTAAAAAATGTCAGTTCTTAAAAGCTAGACACTTGAGCGGATTTCCTTTGCTATCAACACAGTTCAGCGTCCTGTCCATCTGATGATGTTACTTCAGTGTTGCAACAAGCACCTGCTATCACTCCAACAGGAAGGAAGTGGACACTACCTACGCAGACATTATAACCTGCAGACAAATAGCAAACAGGGATAGAATTAGAACTGGCCCGCTAGCCTTAGCCAGTCTCCCTGATATTTAAGATACCTTAAGGGCAGGTAATATTCTAAACATTTTGGGTGGCTCCTATATGTTACCCTATTCAAACTGGAAGATTTTCTTGGTTTGTTTCCATCCCTGACAAGGAACAAACAATGAGGCTGTTATGGCACAGAATATCATTATACCATGCTGGTTGTCGCTTAAACATATTTTACAACAAACAGTCTGAAGATAATTCCTCATCCTCAAAGCCTTGCAAAGATCTTGAGTTTTCCATTCAATAAATCATATAAAATCACCATCTCCCCTCCTCCACCCCTTACTCCCTATCCCACATCGACATGACTCTCCCCTCCCTTAACTCCCAATCCCACATTTACCTGACTCTCATTGCTCCCAACCCCTTACTCCCTATCCCACATTTACCCGACTCTCACCTCCCACACTCTTTACTCCCTATCCCACATCGACATGACTCTCCCCTCCCTTAACTCCCAATCCCACATTTACCTGACTTTCACTTACTCGCTATCCCACATTTACCCGACTCTTCTCCCCTCCACCTCCTACTTTTTATCCCACATCGACATGACTCTCCCCTCCCTTAACTCCCAATCCCACATTTACCTGACTTTCACTTACTCGCTATCCCACATTTACCCGACTCTTCTCCCCTCCACCTCTTACTTTTTATCCCACATCGACATGACTCTCCCCGCTCACCCACAAACACACCCCTTCACTCCCTATCCCACATTTACCCGATGCTCCCTTCTCCCACCAATTACTCCTCATCTCACACCCCCTTCCCCTCCAAACCTATGTAACGGGTGCCCCTTTTATCTGAGTGAGTCTCCAACTGAGGACACAAGAACAAGCTACCAAGGCTCCACAACTACAAGGGGCTCTTTCAAGCAGAGATGAAAGAGTTGTTAACCATGTGATGGTGGTATATCAGATATATCACCCAGAGGAGTGCCTCATTAGACCTGCCTGCCAGGAATGTCAACAATGTAGCAAGGATAGGAATACTTTTGGGACTACAGGTAACACTGTCGGACTAAGGAAAAAACAATGCCCATCTCATAAAATCCCTCACCTGCTAACATGGAGGGATTAAACACCAATTCCTTCATATTACTATAGTTAATCTGCCATACCATAGGGTGTTCTCTAACTTCTTTTGAGTAGTATATGTCAAGTATATATCTAAATAGAATGCCATATATGATCCCTATCAAAAGTTGGGTAGAATGTATCAAGTTAACTGGGGTTTGAAACAAGAAGAGTGCCAATATTACTAATAATATTTCACAAACAACTGAGTAAGTATGGCTTTAAGTCAATTTAAGTAATATTCCAGCAATACCATGCTAGGGGCACCAGAAAAGGGCTTCACACATTACCAAATGTGATTGACAGAAGTTAGTGAGTGAATTTGGATTATAAGGGTGTTTTGAACAATATTTCAGTCAAATCACAATGTGAGCTTGGGGGCACAGCCTTGAGAAAGGAGGTCTTAGACGTTTACCACTTTGATGAAACCACTGAGTGAGTGAGTGAGTTGCATTTAACACGGCTTTTGAACAGTATTCCAGTTATATCACGACATGTCAGGTTAATGTGGGAGGAAAGCCTGAAGTAATTCAGATCTCAGACGCATATCACACTGGTGAAACCTACGAGCACAGGTATGGTGCCGTGACAAACCTGGAAACATAATCAAGTTGAATCTGGCATTCAAACCAAAATCATAGGATTCTAGCATGAATCAGAAACACATTTCAGCAAAGTGAATTGCAGCAACTGTACAACTGGCCACCAGCCAAGGAAACAAACTGACACTGTCCTAAATGATCTATCAAGCTAAAGAGTTTGACAAAACAAAGTTTCACTGTATTTGAGCAAAACCAAAATACCAACCTCCCCCAGCGACGTCGTTGAAGCGGCCGTTAGTAGTGGCCACCCTTCCATAGACATCCTCCCTGCGCTGGTAAGGGTTTTCTCGATAAGGGTCTTCTCTGTTAACCCGTCTGTAGGGATCCTCATCCCTAAAGCCACTAAAACGAACCATCATTAGTACAATATAAATGTCACCAAACTATTCTCCTGACAAGTTATCCTAGGGTCTCGTATCACACACAAACTCTCCTTGCAGCCGGGATATAACACAGTTTCATCACACACCTCTCCTTGCAGCTGGAGTATAATACCATTACATCACACAGGAACTAAGTTTTTCAAGTATTAGCACATAGGGATAACAAATCAGTCAATAATTCTTCTGTATTCTGTCCAGGATCCGATGGAGATTATACTGCAGCCTTATCACAGTTATTTCCGACAGACCAGGCGCAAACTTTCTGCAGTACTCCCAATAACCTGTCAATGAATGATGCAAGTCACTGCATCCTCCATTAAATTCATCAACAACTGTTTTTCTCTACATTAGTACACACAGGTACTTGCAGCTCCTCTCTTTCTCATTAAATCACGACGAAACTGTCAGTGAAATGAAGGCAGCCCAATCACATTCTTTCCTTGCACTTAGGAATTTAAACCTCCTCGATTCACCTGTTCTACTTGTCTACTGGGGTATGTCCGAGGTCACTAAACATACAAGATGAATCAGAAAGCCCACCTCACAAGATCAGCATTGCTGTCCCAAAGGAAACACACCCATCGTCTATGACAGGATCATTTTCGCAATTCTGTGGCAAAGGGCGTTACAGAGACAATTCTGCCCACAAGTCACTTTTGAAAGGACCTGACTAAAAATAACCTGCTGAAAATTTGCCAGCAGGGCTTCGAAACAGGGATTTACTTAAGTCTACAAAGATCTCCAACCAGGAGCTAGCTTTGCCATGAGAACACTGCAAATAGCTGATTCTATACGTTCATCTCATCCCAAAATACAAAGCCAAACATCCTAGTCTACAATCCTTGTTAATTCAATAGCCAGACAAGGGACATTCATACAAACACCACAACACAGTGTATGCATGTAGCCTGTGCCATACTTTACTTTCAGGCACACTATAGTAAGCATGTTTAATAGGCTTGCAAGGCTTTTTACAGCAGGTGAGGCAGTTGTATTGTGAGCAAGACATACTGCCAAGTGTAACATATGGCTATGACTTTGATCATAAGCAGAATACAACTCACCCGACACTTATTTTTAACTAGGAGTGATAGTGTCAACATGGAGATAAATATTTAACAACTATATATATATTTAAGCATGACTTGCCACGTATGACATAACTTTGAAATGATGAAAATAAATTTCGCTTTAATATAAACATTATTTCTTAACTTTTCCCATGACTGAAAAAGTGTTGTGCTTACCTGCGGTAATATTCTTCAGGGTAGGATCCGCTGAAACACAGATACATGAAGTTAGACACATTATCACCATAGTTACCAAGAAAATAGGTTCTACACAAATGGTCAGCCACAATCAGAGTGGCCTCTCTTCAACTGTCGACCCTTGAAGGTCTGGATTAGAAAAGCTCCTTTGCAACTCTTGTCGTAAGAGGCGACTGACAGGATTGGGTCGTCAGGCTCTCTGGCTTGGTTGATACATGTCATCATATCCCAGTTGTGTCATGATTTTGATGCTCATGATATCAATCACTGGATTGTCTGGTCCAGACTCGGTTATTTACAGGGTGCCATAATGCAGCTGTTATATTGCTGAGTGCAGCTAAAAACAAACAAACAAACAAATCTATTGTCAGGCCAGCATCAGGTGGGCCTTCAGCTGTTGGACAACCACAGCACAGTCAATCCTCATGACACAATGGTATGTCCCAGAGTTAAATCTGATCTCTTCAGAAATAGGGGATTGAGTTAATGTTATATTCTTAACCTGGATTATCACCATCAAAAAAGCACAGGAGGAATTTGCTTTTGATGAATAAGAGGTCACATTAACAGCTTAACACATGACGTAGGTGAGTATATAGGCTTAGTGGCTGTAATGTGTATGAATACTCAAAGAGAGGGCACTCCTATTTCACTGATACACCACTGGGGCCCTGTTCCACAAAGCAATCTTAGTGCTAAGGTGATCACAACTCCCATGCTTCAACATTGACCTGTGACAGTGGCAGTGCTAAGAGTTAGGGTGAAAGGCCCTGTTCCACAAAGCAATCTTAGTGCTAAGGTGATCACAACTCCCATGCTTCAACATTGACCTGTGACAGTGGCAGTGCTAAGAGTTAGGGTGAAAGGCCCTGTTCCACAAAGCAATCTTAGCGCTAAGGTGATCGCAACTCCCATGCTTCAACATTGACCTGTGACAGTGGCAGTGCTAAGAGTTAGGGTGAAAGGCCCTGTTCCACAAAGTAATCTTAGCGCTAATATAAGGTAATCGCAACTCCCATACTTCAACATTGACCTGTGACAGTGACAGTGCTTAGAGTTAGGGTGAAAGGCCCTGTTCCACAAAGTAATCTTAGCGCTAAGGTAATCGCAACTCCCATACTTCAACATTGACCTGTGACAGTGGCAGTGCTAAGAGTTAGGGTGAAAGGCCCTGTTCCACAAAGTAATCTTAGCGCTAAGGTGATCGTAACTCCCATGTTTCAACATTGACCTGTGACAGTGGCAGTGCTAAGAGTTAGGGTGAAAGGCCTTGTTCCACAAAGCAATCGTAGCGCTAAGGTGATCACAACTCCCATGCTTCAACATTGACCTGTGACAATGGCAGTGCTAAGAATAAGGGTGAAAGGCCCTGTTCCACAAAGCAATCTTAGCGCTAAGGTGATCACAACTCCCATGCTTCAACATTGACCTGTGACAGTGGCAGTGCTAAGAGTTAGGGTAAAAGGCCCTGTTCCACAAAGCAATCTTGGCGCTAAGGTGATCACAACTCCCATGCTTCAACATTGACCTGTGACAGTGGCAGTGCTAAGAGTTAGGGTGAAAGGCCCTGTTCGACAAAGCAATCTTAGCGCTAAGGTGAACACAACTCCCATGCTTCAACATTGACCTGTGACAGTGGCAGTGCTAAGAGTTAGGGTGAAAGGCCCTGTTCCACAAAGCAATCTTAGCGCTAATATAAGGTAATCGCAACTCCCATACTTCAACATTGACCTGTGACAGTGGCAGTGCTAAGAGTTAGGGTGAAAGGTACACTGAGTTGATCGTAACTCCCATGCTTTAACAGAAAATTATGACAGCTAAAATCTCTTTGCAGGGCTCGATTTACCTATGCAAAACATGCATATCAAATCATTAAAAAATTATATCACAATTCGTTTGGAAAACACCAGTATTTAAAATCAAGTCGAACAGAAAGTAAGAAATTCAGAAATTAGGATCTGGTTCTTGTGATCGAAAAAGTGAAATCTTTGTGACCGGCTTCTTACACATATGACCACGCAGTTTTCAAAATGTGGGTTATCTTTATACAGGTAAAAACATGTTACCGAAGAAAGAATGCATGCAATATATTTTGGAACATACCACAATACATCATTAATCTCTATTGCAATACGAAAGTCTGACCAATACCCAAGTGTATTGCAGACCTATTCAGCCACACAAATCCAACAGGGAGACAAGCATGCTGCACTTTGGGCTATATTTATGCAAGGAGAAGGGAGAGGAAAACCAAAGAAAAACATGAACATGTGCTTTATTCCCGAGGGACAGTGTTCCTACTACATAATTCAACATCCGCAACAATGGGATTAGTTGTACACAAGCATTATATCAGCTCAAGCTAGCAGCCACACAGGAGAAGATGCTCTGAGAGATTGGACGGTTTTCTATACAGTTTTATACATCAAAAACATAATGTTATAGAAAAACTTTAAAAAATCCATATCTCTAATAATATTCACACCATTTGCCCACTTACAACTAATAAATCATATTATCTTCACTGGGAGTGTTATCAATGTGATACCAACTTGATAAACTTATTACGACCTGACATATATGCAAAGAAAGGTTGCCTAGAAAGAACAATTTTAACAAGCTCCATATACCAATGTTATCATTCAGAGTGACAGAGTGAGTGAGTTGGGTTTAATGCCTCTTTTAACAATATTCCAGTCCAGCGTGTCAGCTTAATGTGGGAGGAAAGCCCGAAATGATGCAGGTCTAAGACATTTACCACTTCGGTGAAACCCACAAGCACGGGTATGGTGCTGACAAACCTAGAAACATAATCGGGGCAAACCGGAATTTGAACCCACAATCATAGGTTTCTGGCGTGCCCAAGGGACAACACTCTGCACAGAGAATCGCGGCGCCTTAGACGACTGGGCCACCTGTGCCACCCCATCAGCAAAATGACAGAAAAATGTCTTAAGTTTTTATATTAAGAATGACATCATGTGATAAGGAGGTATTACCCTCGTGTGTTTCCATAATGTAAATATAGATCAAGGAAAAAAGTATTATGTAAGCCTTTGGCTACTCATGTCATAATTACATTTCAGTAATTCTTATCCGAGTATTTAAGAGGATTACATGTCATGTGTCGTGAAGCCTGCCTTCCTACAACACACTGGGACATGCAGTAGCCTGACACAGTCACATTCGCTGAGCAGGGTAATTGAAAATCAAAGGGGATAAATTATTAATGCACCAATCAATAGCGCACAATTGACGTAAATGAAACTGCGGATAAAGATGCAGACATTAATTCCAAGACTCTAAAGGGGCATGTGCTACTTCATCCGTCAAATTCTACAGAAGACATGCAATACAATTGCCCTGTTTGACATATTTCTGATATGGAGCTGTTCTGATTGGTCATGTTATGGTATGAGAGAACAGTGTTTACTGCTGAAGTAAGCATTATGACAGTTATATCCCAGCAGCCTGTATAGGTGAGGCAGGATCTGACAAACTAGTGGTTATAGTGGGAACCACAGTGTATGCCACAGTGGGGTGACAGTTGCTAGTCTCACCTGGTGGTCGTAATACAAGCAGGGGGAGGTGAAATGGGCTTTAGTGTTGAATGCAAAGTTTTTGCACTTATAGCGATGTGTGATCATCGATGTGTGTTTGTTTATTTATTGTTTAACACCGTATGCCCACATGGATACAATGTGTAAAGCCCATTTCTGGTGTCCTCCGCTGTGATATTGTTGGAATACAGCTAAAAGCGGCATAAAACCTCACTCACTCACTCACTCAGTCAGTATACTGACACTGAGGCAACCCATCCTTGTTTTGTTCCCCTAATGCCAAGCACAAAGTAACAAGTACATCAATGGAATGGCTGGGCATGGGATGAAACCACAAGCCTTCCCTCTCCACTTCCCTCTATCCACTATACTATACACCAATACTTAGTCACACACAAACATTGGGTGAGTCCGAGTGGAAGAAATAGGTGTGTCAGCAGTGGGGTGTCGACAGTTGGGTGTCGACAGTTGGGTGTCAGCAGTGGGGTGTCGACAGGGGGGTGTCGACATTGGGGTGCCAGCAGTGGGGTGTCGACAGTGGGGCGTCGGCAGTGGGGTGTCGGCAGTGGGGTGTTGGCGGTGGGGTGTCGACAGTGGGGTGTCGGCGGTGGGGTGTCGGCGATGGGGGTGTCGAGGTGATGATGGATGTGGAGTGGTCTTAATACTAGTAACACTCAACAGTACGATGTGTGTGTAGGGGGATGGTTTGTGGTGGTCAAGAGTGAAAATATTGTTTCCACAAATATTGTTGGGGCACTGAGGCACAGAAGATACACCCTCAGGCCTCAACGTTATGACATGGTCATCAGCACTGTTTTCCTTCAGATATAAACGTACCAGTTCAAAATACTGGTATATTCAATATTTTGGACTGATAGGGTTAAAGTCTACCAATACATGGCCTATTTTACCGAAAAATTACAGGTATTACCAAATAAAACACTGCAGTCATTATGATATCCTGTGAAACCCTGTAAATACTTACTTGGCAACAAACTGTGATCCGCCTCCCCTCATTGGGCCGCTGTAATCACCGTATCCGTTCATGTCACGTGGTGTCAGGCCCGGCATACTCCGCTGGGCACTCTAGCCTGCAACAACAACAACACAACAGTCACAATAACGCAACATCGTCAACATACAATTATCAACAAACATTGTAATAATTGGCAAATTTCAGTGATATAGAGTTCAACACCGCCTTTCGCACAATAAGAAATTGATTTTCCAATGAGGCATGCTGGGATCATCCTTGAAAAGTTAATGTATCATAGGGTTTCAGGGGAAGTGTTGAAAATGTAAAAGTTTATGACAGACGGACATAAGACCACCTGAGCTTCTGGTTCAAGTGAGCAAAAACGGGAAAGAACTATTTAAAACGTCATCTACCAGTCGGTTAAGAACTTCACCTTCCTGATCTGTATAACTTTAAGTGAGTGAGTATTGAGAAGTATTTCATTTAAACTACTCAAAAGTAAAGGACCCTCCAATTCTTTCATGTTACCATAGCTAATCTGTGATGACATGATAGATTAACTAGAGCAATATGAAAAAATTGGGTGGTCCTTCACTTCTTTCGACTAGTATACATCACAGTATGTCAGTGTCATGTTAAACACTATGAAAACAAGGGCAAAAGTGAGCGTGGCTCACTAATACCCTCGACCCGCCTAGTGTGTCAGTAGTTTCAAATTAAATAATGGATAGGGTTAGGGTTTGAAAAATTCATAAAAAATGGAAAATTAATAAACATTTTTTTTTTGGACTGCACCCCTCCATATGACACAGATTATATGTTCTAAATTTGAGATGAAATTCCACTGAATAGTTTCAGAGAAATCAAAGTTTTCGGACGAATGGACGGAACCTTAGTATAACTATATACCCCCAACCTAAAAGGTCGTGGGTATAATAACGACATTGCTCAACAAGTTTCAGTGCCAGACAGCATGGTAAATGATCCTCACCGTGGTGCCACAGTATCAGCCACGTCACAAATCGTACCTACTGAATCCCAACTTAGTCAGCTTTAAGTGTGGGGCGCTAAGGAATCAACAATACGGGGAAGAGATGATTCACAAATGTAAGCAAATGATGTCATTCTCACGAAAAGTCCTTACTCTCAAACCCAAAAGCCGCTTTGTAGAAACTTCCACTTTTTAAGGCTTTTATGTTATGTGAATGGATGACTGAGGTCATGCCATACATAAAACTGCTGTGTTCATGGTCTTGTTGTACACATTTCATTCAGTCACACAGCCTATGTCAAAACAGCAGAGAAGAAAGAAATCAAACTTGCTACAATACCTATCCTGCAAGCATGTCTGTACAGTACATTTTAAAGGGGCTCTCTCACTAACTTTGACATTGTATAAAGAGTTTTATCACTACAGAATATGGCACAATACTTGTGGAGTTATGATGTACACTGAGTAAGCTCTTGATATATCCAAGGAGTGACACATACTACTCAGCTTTTGATAGTGAAAGGGAGTATCCCGGTGGGGTCTGAAACTGACTGATTGCTCGGATATGTTGTCATGTATGTATCTGATGTTGCCATGGAACTGAAGCATGTGCAGCATTAGTTGAAGTTGATTAAACATAAATACACAGTTCAGTTTGTAGTCTATTTTTGTGTGGACGTTTTGACATTTTTGTGTGGACATTTGGACCATGGGTTTTGGCTGTTTTGACCATGGGTTGTGGCTGTTTTGACCATGGGTAGTGGCTGTTGTGACCATGGGTTGTGGCTGTTGTGACCATGGGTTGTGGCTGTTTTGACCATGGGTTGTGGCTGTTGTGACCATGGGTTGTGGCTGTTTTGACCATGGGTTGTGGCTGTTTTGACCATGGGTTGTGGCTGTTGTGACCATGGGTTGTGGCTGTTTTGACCATTGGTTGTGGCTGTTTTGACCATGGGTTGTGGCTGTTTTGACCATGGGTTGTGGCTGTTGTGACCATGGGTTGTGGCTGTTTTGACCATGGGTTGTGGCTGTTTTGACCATGGGTTGTGGCTGTTTTGACCATGGGTTGTGGCTGTTTTGACCATGGGTTGTGGCTGTTTTGACCATGGGTTGTGGCTGTTGTGACCATGGGTTGTGGCTGTTGTGACCATGGGTAGTGGCTGTTGTGACCATGGGTTGTGGCTGTTGTGACCATGGGTTGTGGCTGTTGTGACCATGGGTTGTGGCTGTTTTGACCATGGGTTGTGGCTGTTTTGACCATGGGTTGTGGCTGTTGTGACCATGGGTTGTGGCTGTTTTGACCATGGGTTGTGGATGTTGTGACCATGGGTTGTGGATGTTGTGACCATGGGTTCCGGAAGTTTTGACCAGGGTCGTGGCTGTTTTGACCATGGGTAGTGATTGTTTTGACTTTACCTCTGGAGGCCCTTTTGATCTGCTCCCCACAGTTCAATATGTAAACTGTTGTTGTCACGTGATCAACTTCAAGGTCAAAGTGCCTTGTTATTTTACCTGGTTGTATCCCGAGTCCTTCCTTCTACAGTACATGGTAGAGGAACAACAGATTCATTACACATACTTAATCAGGGAGTCTAGGATACAGAGATCCTACCTCGTCATATCAGCTCTGACTCAAGGGACCTTTGGGAGACAAACCTACTGCTTTAAATTTGAGTGAGATAACGAACAGGAGTTTACACTTTCAACAACTTGTCAGCAACCAGTTCAAAGTTTGATGTCCGATAAAAATCTCAATGGCTTAAGTTTGGGGCAGAAGGGTTAAGAGATAAGAAAGTTTTCACGCAACAAAATCAACTTTTACAGTTTTTACAGTCCAAGTCAATAAATAACAGCTTTAATTGTGATGAAACGTTGGGGTATGTCTAGATAATTAAGGAAATTAGTTGGGTTTTTTCTCAGACATTGAAGTGGTTCCTCATATCATGGTGTAACAGTTTCATCCTGAAGGACTCCTTCAGTGATAATGCCGTCCGTGTTTACCCAGTCTGGGAATCAACCAAATGTCCATCAGATCCAACCACCAGTGCAGCAAAGGGGCATAACTCTGGACAAGTTGTGATGCCTTACTGTCAGTGATTTAGCTTTAACGCCACTTTGAACAGTATTCCACTGATATCATGACATGCCAGCTTAATGTGGGCGGAGTGTCGAAGCCTGAAGTAATGCAGGTCTCAGACGTTTACAAAGTTAGTTAACCAAAGAGCACGGATCTGTACCCACTTGCACAAAGCGATCTTAGCGCTAAGATGATCGTAACTTCCATACTTTAACATAGACTTATGATAGTCTTAGCGCTAAGATCACTTTGTGCAAGTGGGCCCTGGTGCGGACAAACCAAGAAACATAATCAGGACGAACCGGGATACAAACACATGATCATAGGTTTCTGGCATGCCCAAGGGATGTAACTCTGCACAGCAAACTTCTGGGCCCCGAGTGCCCATGTGGTGCCTTGGATCAATGAGGAATCTGTGATCCCCTTTCCTGTTTTAATTTAGATTTACTTTTCCAAAAATATGATTATGAGACTATGAGTTATTATGATTGACACTAAACATGTCCTTGTGTATTGACAGTATATGGGGTTTCACGTGTTGAATTTTTCTGTTTTCAAATATTTTGATCTAAAAAGAATTATCTACAAAAGTGTTGACAATTACACACTTTAATTCAATGCGACATGAAACTATTAATTTGAACTCATCAGACTTTGAAATCATTATGAAGCAACTGATTACACATTGTTTACTGGCTAACTTCCTGCTTTATATATAATATGAACCATACCATACTACCTTGATATTTGGTGACACGTGTTGGTCGGGGAAAGGTAGGTTTGAGAATTCCCCCAAAATAAAACCTTATCAAGAACATTCTCGAATAGTGAAGGAGACACCATCCTGAAAGTGAGCTTATCATCCAACAGGTGGCCAGCAGTTGATAAACAACCGTATCACCATCTTTGTTTACCTTTCTCAGGGCCATCAACAAACATGGCAAAATGTTCACTTTAACCTTAGCTTATAACATAGCATAAGCTTCTCATAAACATAAACTATTATTTACCGAGGACCTGTACACCAAGATCACACGATCACAGCTGTTTGAGTATCAAAATCACACATCTGTGGGAACATGGCTAACACACAGATTTGAGAACATGGCTCACACACAGATATAGCCTTGTGAGAAACAGGATCACACACAGATATAGCCGTGTGAGAAACAGGATCACACAAATACACAGCTGTGTGAGAAACAGGATCACACAAATACAAACTGTGTGAGAAACACGATCACACAAATACACAGCTGTGTGAGAAACAGGATCACACACAAACACAGCTGTGTGGGAAACAGGATCACACACAGACACAGCTGTGTGAGAAACAGGATCACACAAATACAAACTGTGTGAGAAACAGGATCACACAAATACACAGCTGTGTGAGAAACAGGATCACACAAATACACAGCTGTGTGAGAAACAGGATCATACACAAACACAGCTGTGTGGGAAACAGGATCACACAAATACACAGCTATGTGAGAAACAGGATCACATAAATACACAGCTGTGTGAGGAACAGGATCACACACAGACACAGCTGTGTGAGAAACAGGATCACACAAATACACAGCTGTGTGAGAAACAGGATCACACAAATACACAGCTGTGTGAGAAACAGGATCACACAAATACACAGCTGTGTGAGAAACAGGATCACACACAGACACAGCTGTGTGAGAAACAGGATCACATAAATACACAGCTGTGTGAGGAACAGGATCACACACAGACACAGCTGTGTGAGAAACAGGATCACATAAATACACAGCTGTGGGAACATGGATAATGTTTCAGTGAAAACCAGGATCACAAACTCTATTCAGCTGTAGCCCAGGCTCTAGGGTACCCCGAGTACATCTGACAGCAAAAGGATAATTTTGAACATCAGCATACAGGTGTACTTACAAGTAAGTTTGTCCATGACACTTGTCACACAGCCTGAAACCCCATCCTATCACTTCTACAGTGTAAGACCTACAAGTACACTGTATTAAGCTCTGGTTCAATACCATGACACGTATAATGACATATG